TTGAGCGAGAGAATTGTCGCTTTGTATTATATTAATTTAATCGCCTTGCAAATCTTCACTATTTAGTTAGAATGAAATAAACGAGAGAGAAAGAGGAAAAGAACAGTAAAATAGAATCGTTGTGTGTTACGTTTTGATTGTGAGAGATTGGAAATATTACAGATTTTTATGGGTGTGCATATAACGACGAAAAGTTAGAAACGAGCGTCAGGTGGCAGACGAAGTTTTTTTTTCATCGTCGTCGATTTCTCCAATAACATATATCAACGAGAGAGATCTCCCTTTTTTTCTTATTATTTATTATATCCATTCCAAAGTAATTTCTAAGGTACGTTAGACTTCCACGAAAGAGATAACTATATTATAACTATTTTGCCGTGCGTATTACGCGATATATGATCGATCTGTTCGATGTTGCAAAGGAGATGAGTTGAAGTTGTAATGCCGATAGTTATTTAAAAGAGAACGGTTTTCACATATTGTAAAAATATTAAAATTTATATTCTTATATCGCGAATTTTAAATATACAATGTCCCAGTCTTTTGTTCTCGAACGTTTAAAAAATCACGCTTTTTTTTTATTTTTATTTATTGCTAAGATTTACAAGTTAAGATACATTAAATGTGATGAATGTTGAAATTTAATTTCACATATAGATCGATTATTGAAAACGTCATAAGAAACATAAAAATGTCTCGTCTTGTAAGTGTTTTACACTCGATCAATCGTATTTGAACTTGTCTTATACAATCATGCACTGAAAATCGTTCTATCTGAATGGACCTTTAATTGCGACGAAAGAATTAACGAGACGGAAATGAGATCGATGTTCTAAAAGCACATGTAAACTTGCCGAACATCATTGCCAAAATTTTTCCTCGCTCTGCGGCAAACTGATCACGAATCGTATGTGTGTATTGTGTAATACGGACATGCGAGAACAAATTACATGTATAATTTATCATAAATTATCATTCTTCTAGATTTGTTCATAACCTCTGATTACAATAATTATTCTTCATGTGTTTTTGCAGAATGACTTTCTTATTTTACCCCTTCCTGTAAGAGTATGTTACATATGTATGTAGAAAGTCATACACATGTCACACACAGATAGCTCTTATCACATTGTTCTTTGTAAGTGATAGAGATTAAAATCTATTTTTCTCTTCAAGATTGTCAAAAAAGAAAATATATGATTATTCAGAAAGATCTTTATAAATTATGCTTTCGATGTATAATAATAACAATAATATTAATAATAATAATGATGATAATAATAAGTCGCTATATCAATGTCGAATTAAGATTTATCCTGAAATTTTTTAATAGCCGTATTTTAAAATTTTTTCATCTGAAAAGACTTAAAAAAAAAAATGTTAGTTAAAAAAAATGGGATGAAAAATATTTATCCCATTAATACATCATTACAAATTCACCAAAGCATTTGTTAGATTTAAAAAGACAATAAACATCCTGCTACAAAAAAAAAAAAAAATTTCAACCTACATTACAAGGAGGAATTACGCCTAATTTCTTACCTCTAGTGTTATAATTCAATATAGCTGCAGCGAGAGAACTGGTTCAGAGGCCCTACAGGTCGGAAACATGCGTCTAATTCAACCCTTCTTGTAGCAGCGATGTCAAAAGCGAGGAAATTATGAGGAAATGCACGCCCTCCTTTCAAACGAATTTCGTAGCTTACATCTACAAACGATTTTTCGTTGATGAAACTGCTACAATTTGATAAAGCAAGCCTACGAAGCGCGCGAGTAGCTTTGCAATTTATTCGAGATATCTCTCAGATGCTTCTCGGTTGAGTAAGAAATCTCTTACTTATAGAAAGAACACAAATATTTCCCCATTAGAGCTTTTTAATACTCTCGATATTTTTTAAAATACTTTTATTATTACGCTATAAGTGTTTAAACTGTTTTCATGGAAGGATGTAATGAATAATGTTACAACTCTAAAATCGAGTTAGCTTTATTTATTTATGTCTGCCCTTTTTCGCAAAATATATTGAATCCTCTAAATACATTTCTCGAGATTCGATCCGCTTGCGGAAGTATGAATTTTTTGCGCGACCATCAAGATAACACTATATATACATAATACTCACATTTTAATGCATATAGAGCTGTTTATACAATTGACACGTTACATAAAATTTCGTACACGAGAAAATGATTGTTACGCGCTCATGTACGAGGGAAACAAGGGAGATTCTTTGGCCAATGTCACACAAAAAAATATCACTTCTGCCAATGATTCAAAAGAGTCCGAATATCCGAATCCCAAACATTGATCTGCAGGTACCTAAATTTCTCTTTCGAAATTGAGTTAGATTCTTTAAATTTTTAAGACAATCGCCTTAGGTAAGTATTCTTCTTACAAGCGCCTTAAAGAATACTTTAAGGAATACTTTCTCTCTTTGCCATAAATTTGCAAATCCATTCTTGGAAAATTTGATTCGTTTTACGTGTGATTTTTACAGCTTTGCACAATTTTCTCTATTCTATGATACAGTTAAAAGACTAGTATCGTATCGATATTTATTCTACCTAAAGCTTTTAATGATTGCAATTCTTCAATTATGATTGGATCGCGAAAATGAGTATACAATTGATCGATATATCTATATAATGTCCCGCATTAAAATATACATGCAAACAAATTGTTACTCGAACTTTAGCACGAAACGATTGGCAAGAAATGTTAATGCTAACTAATTGCTTTTATAAACATTGCGAACGAACAAGTAACAGTAAATTCTTGGCTACATTCGAGAGTATAAAAACGACGATGAGTCATCACTGATATGATTTCTTCTTTTCATCCAAGTAGGGACCTCGCTTTTGTTCATTGTCACTTTACGCAAGATTTATTGCGCAGACAGAATTTACATGTATCGCAATCCCGCAGCGGTTCATGTTTTAATATATATATATATATATATATATATATATATATACTAATAGACATAAAGTAGACAAAAATCAAATATCTCTGAAATTCGTGCTTATCACATTCCCTCACGCGAGTTAATTAATCTTTTTTTAAGAAACAAATCTTCGGTCTTTAGGCCTTCTTAGCAAACTCCGAAACTTAAACTTCTCTTTCAAGGATAAAACATGCCTTTCTACATCTTCCCTTAGCTCCATCTGATATATTTGAGCGAATAGAGATGAACGGAATAATGATGCAAGTCTCACATTTATATAAAATCTCGTTTTAAAAAAATACTTGGAGAAAAAGTTCTGAAAATACTCGATGTGAACTCAATTGCCACTTTGTTACCCTATTTGTCTTTCTACAATTACCCTCCCCCCCCTCCCAACTTACCGAAGAGAGCCCAAGAGAATCCCGAGAAAAGCAGAGAATTTAAATGATTATATCGTGCGCGCAAATAAATATAAAAATACGTCGTGTATGTAATTTGCATAAAATTTAATATTAATATCTTTTTTTTATGACTCATATCACTATTCGCGAAACAACTCGGCAAAACAAATCGACTAGGCGACCGATCGCGTCAATTCTAGTCTTCATCGTCTCCTCGACGAAGAAGATCGGTTCGGGGAAGAGATTTTCTCTACGTGTGGTCCCATACATGCGCATCGTCCCCTAGATTCGATCATCAACACTGCGTTTGATCGCACTCATCGTGGGAAGAATCGTCATCATCGCCGTCGCCACGTTTGATAAGCACCCGCGCGTGATTGTTGTTGCCGTGATTACCGGGGCGACCGCCTGCAGTAATCATCTGTACGGTCTGCTGCGGCTGCTGCAGCTGGTGAGCCTCGCCTGCCACCGGTCGCCTGCAATCGGCATCCCCCGGCACCATCCCCGACGCCGGTTGATAGTCACACCTTCTCCTCTCCCGCCATCGGACCTGCGGTCGAGCGGATAAACTGAAACAGTCAACGTTCCACAATGGACTCGACTCGGAGCACGCTGCTGTCACTGGCACGATACGGACGGATCATATATACGTGTAATCTCTTTTTTTTCCTTCTTTTTTTTCCGCGTTACGTCTATCTCTGACGTCTCTCTCGCCGTCGACGGCACATGATTAGTGATGCATCGCTGCGGCATCGTTAAAACGGTTGCACATCCACATCCCGCAGGGATGTTAGTACGCGGTTGGGTTAGTCGGAGAGGTATGTGCGTGTGTGGGTATACGTTAGTCCGCATCGCGCCATTGACGAGTCGTGCATACGGGAATTTCAATCCAGGGGTGGGAATGTTACTCTCATGCAGCGAGCGCAAATTCTCGTTAAAATCGCGAGGGTGCTTTCCATCCTAACCCGATGGGGAACGCCGTCGAGTACAGTTACTTTCTAGGATTTTATAGATTACCAGTGCGACAGAGCGCAGATCGACAAGGTCCTGCATTCGCGACCGTCCTGTGAAAAGCAGTAGGATTGAAAGGAATTGATGGAAATTCGTTCGATTTAATTGTAAATTCCGAATCTCCTTCAAATACCACAGCGATGTCCTCTCTTTAAAAATTCTTCATTTTTTTCCGTTCCTATTATATTATTTAAAATTTTTTAAAGTAGATAACTTTCGATCGAAATAAATTCTTAATCAATATTAACATATATTACGATGAATTTTTTTCTCTCTCTATATTTTCCATAGAGATAATATTATGCAAGTCTTAGGTAGGACATTTCCATTTTGGTAATTCGGAATTTGAGAAATTAAATAAAAAAAAAAAATGTTTTCGCGTAATCGTTACGTTATTTTTTATCTATCGCATATTTAAATAGGAATAAATAATTAGCGCAAACAATAATTAAACGCTCGAGCAAAATATATTAGTTAATAATATGGCTGCAGCTCTTATTGTTTGAAGAAAATTAAAAGTATCATATTCCACTAATTTTGTTCCAGCGAGGAATGTACAATAATATAGGAATGATAAGTATGTTGAGAGCACAAGGAGAAATAGGAAGAACCCAAAGATTTAGTTAAGTTAATCCGCGGGATTTCGGAGATAAAGAATTCAATTTCACGGAACTACGTACTTTCTTCTAATCCACTTGTTTCTTCGCGCTCGGGGTATTATTTCTCGTGGAAAGTTAAGTGAAAAGCTTAGAAGGCGATTTAAAATCGATTTGACCGCAAAAACGGGCGCTCTGTTTATAGGCTTCGTCAATATTGCATACCGAGACGGTTGTGGCCGTGCAGGAGTTGGCTCGTTTTCGTAAAAGGGTGTTGCCATCCCACTTCCTCTTGAATTGTGCTATTACCTGGCAGCACCACAAGGGAAAATATCATTACACCGAAGGTAGAAAACGGGCCGTTTTCCATAGTCGTAGGAACTTACCTCGCCGTTGCAAAAACAGAAAAGCACAGCCACACAGAGACCCTGGGAAAGAGAAATTACATTTTACCTCGTTGTATATATCGAGCTCGAAGAGAAACGTTTCCGAAGAGAATTCCCAACTCGGGAATTTATTACAATTCCTTGCGCATGAGAGATACGGAAGTTTCTTCTCCTCGGTTAACTTTCAAATATTTACCGCCAATGAACTATGAAATTATAGCATATTTTTTTCATTTCGCTATACATTACACGGTATTATATGCGAAATGTTGAGAAATTTATATTAATCGACATCGCACAATTCCTTTTTCTTCCACATATCCTCCTTATTTCCCTTGAGAAGAACGAGAATATTTTTAACAGTCATGAAATCATAAACGCAAGTTGAAGTGTTATAAATTAAGATTTATGGAAAGACGAGCAAATATTTTAAAAATAAATTATTCACATCTATGTTTTATAGATATCTCCATGCTTGTTTACGTATCTTTATTTTAGCTTAAATCGTTTCCGTGTTAATAGCGAATATATTCGAATGCAACAAGAGACCGCGAGGATAATCGATAAATCGCTCGTTGCAACGTTTCTCGCTGTATGCGATATTGTTAAGACGCGCGAATATATAAGCGTTTTAACAATCGTATTTTTCAGATATAAACGGTTATGCCGAGAGTTTTCAAATCCCAAGATAACTGGTTCATTCGATAGAATCGCTCAATTAAATTGCGACTCGATACGACATAAAGTAATTATACAACGATGCAGTCACGTTGGCAATGTAGTGCATAAATAAAAGCGCAATTCTCTGGTATAAAATTTGATATTCGCTCAATACTCGTATTGCTTCGAATAAAAATTTCGAATGCTGTCTCTTCGTTCTGAGGCCACTATATACATATTATTCATCATGTCACGAGTATAAGAACAATAAACTGAGAAATAATCATATTTCATGACATTATCATATATATGTAGTCGTCTACGAAATTCATTATATATCATAAAATACATCGACGAACTATCGTTTCTTCCTTGTTATCGTTTTCGTTCATATCTACAAAATTATTAATATTTATTCGTTAGGAAGAAATGTGTCAAAAGATTCGTTGTTGACATTAAACAATTCTTTCAAATATTCTGCAATATATAATATATATGCATATGTATCGCATACATAGCTTGCGTACGTGTATTTGTACTATCGTACGAAAAATTGTATTGGCGTGGTATGTTTCATACGCGAAGAATTAACGAAACGTGATAGAAATTTAAATATTTTGCGATGACAAATATGCGTACAATTATGTGTTTCGAAATATGTATATAAATTAAAGATTTATTTTGATATGTAATCAAGATCTGACTTGGTATTTCTTCAAAATGTGCCATATGAGCAATACACGTATAATATCCTGAACAAAGCACGACACGTACTTTTTGCGATATAATTGCATATAATTAACTTGCTTATTTTAGTCTTAGTTATAAAATAATGTATGAAAAATATGTGTGAAAAATTTTAAACTCACTAACCTGGAAAGAAGCTGTAATTGCGGAAAGAACCTCGTAAAAATGCTCCCAAGGGTGCTTCTTGGGTGGTCGAAATGGAATCACTAAATAGTGAAGACCCAAGAGAGGCACCAAAAGTAATGTCGCCCTAATAACAAGATATTAGATTTCGTCCATAAATGGAGATTAGTATCAGTAATAATTATTGTTATAAATCTACGCTTAAAGATAGCAGCATTTTTTTTATGTTTAATGACAAATAGTCGGCAATCAATTACAATTATCTGCAATTAAAGTAATAAATTAACATTTTTGTATTATGATAAATGATTAGTAATATTAGGAAACAAGAGTTGATAAGTATTTATCGAAATAATATTAATAATTAATCATGATTAAAAAGAAAAATGTGCTGTAGAGTTATTGTTATAACTCGTAAGAAAAGAATCTTTATTACCTTCTCTCTTTTATATCTTCTTTTGCGTCATCGCGTTATAAGTACAACTTGACGTGAAAGAAACGTTATAAGTATGAAGAATCCAACTACCTGAAAGCTTGCAGCATGGATCTTGAAGGGCGTGTTCCGATGGCAGGACCGGCGCGTAGTTTCATGAGAAGAACTCGCACAATGTTGAATAAGAAGAGCAGATTCAACATAGTGGAAACGCATACGGGATAAACCAGCACGTTCATATAATTGCCCTCGCTGATCCAGCATCTGATTGTGACAGTAATCAAGATTGTATCAAATGTGCTATTTTTATAAGTCGTGTTGATGCGATGTGGCAGCATCTTGCATACTCTATATTGCGTTAATTATATAACGTACAATTTTATCTCTCTCACGACATATGCGTTTCTATTGCAAGAGAGCTACGTTAAGACAAATATAAAAATGATGATCTGATTTCTAACAAGGTACAATATACATATAATTAATTCTGTACTTTTGTTTATTAAATATATTATCGCGAGAAGATTGATGAAATGTTTGTTGGTTTATTAAAATCGTTTTCCTTTATTGTTAGTTCCCGCATTCATCGAAGGGAGGGAGTTATCTTCGATCGATCAAAATATTGATCATGTATGGTTCCTTTGATATGATCATAATATATTTAGCGCTTTTATTAATAAGAAAACAGGAAATATGAGAGAAAGAGAGGGACGGCTTCGTCTGTGCACCGAAGGTCGATCGTAACAACTAACAGCGATTCTTGTGTATAATTGAACGTATCCGCGCCGCGTAGACACTTAATATCTATAAGTTTCTATCCTAACAAACCTGATAAGAAGACGATGAAAAATGTCAAGGGGTTATATCTCTCGCAGCGAGGTTCTCGTAATAAATAATGCGGAGGATAAAGGAAGACATACACACAGAGAGATTGCTGTTAGATATTGCGTCACTCTGATCGGTTATAAAACATTTACCATGCGATATAGAGAGTATGGTTCAAAAATATATCGACGAAAATAGACGGATAAGCGAAGACTAGCGGATGCTGACGTTGGATCGCGAGAAGATTTTCTCCTTTTCTCTCCCTCCTCCCGGCAATAAAAATAAAATCTTTTCTTCAGTAACAATATACGTGTAGCAGTACGAGTCGCATTTATACATATGTATATCGAAACGCGGCGGATATAAATCAAATCTAGTACACGCAGTTGCCTTTTTGTTGAAATTTGAGATTTTCTTCAGAGGATAATTCGAAAATGATTCTCCGATCAATCCGACCTCTATCTAGTATTATTTTTTACTTAATATATAACGGATTACGCGTACTTTTAAATAAAGAAACTCGACACCTCTCGTATTATCTCGTGATAAGCGAGCGTCCCGCAAAATTTCCACAACGATAACGATCGAATCGACATTTGTTTTCAATACGATATTGTTTATGTCAACTTGATGCTTCATAACGCAATGTCGATATATGGCTCGTTATCGAATCGTTTATTTCATCAATGTTTCGATATGTTTCACTTTACGTCGCTCGTAAAGCTATTCGTATATATATTCGCGTGGCATGTTTCCGGTGCTGCCTGATACAAAGATTGAGTGCCAGCCGTATCTCTCCTCACATTATTATTTCATTTACTTATTGTTAGACACACGACCTGCGTACAGAATATGGTCTTTGAGCAATAATTTTAGTATCTCTTTTCCACAAACGATCAATTTCAAGTGGCCGGTAATAGCAGTAATATATACAATTAGTATCGTGAATAAATAAATAGCCGTTTAATACGCACAGAGCAATAAGCGCAAAATCGGAATCGATCCTTCTCGATTGTAGAAATTAATTGGATTTCATTCTCGAACTTCCGAATAAAAGTTAAAATAGCAACACCTAAATGCGTATCAATGCGTAACAAGATTAATCCGATTAGATTATTAATGCGCATCTAAGATTTATGTGCAAGAAAGATCGTTAGTTTTGATAATTTAAAATGATATAATTTAAAAGTCACGCGGTCGAAACAAAGTTGCGTCAATTACTTAAACATAGTTATGCACTTCAAATTTCTCAGCGTGCCATGTCGCATTCAATCTTCAAACTCCCATTGGAAGTTTTGAAGCGGAGCGACAATGTACAGTCGCAATCCACGTGGCTTCATTCAACTACAGCGCGATCGACCATGACGGACCTCGAAATTGCGCGACACGGCGCTTTCATCAGATCGCTTTCATAAATTAATTTCACCAAATACGTGCCTCTAGTTTTCTACCATGCCTTTAAAATTATATATATATATATATGCGTGTGTGTGTGTGTGTGTGTGTGTGTGTGTGTGTGTGTGTGTGTGTGTGTGTGTGTGTGTGTACTGTATTTTCGCGTAAAATTGCCAACGAAGCAAAATTCATGGAACTACAATAAAAGACCGAATGTACGAGATGCGTACTACTCTTGATGAGTCCTCCATGCAAGAAAAGTAGACCAGCAACCCTTCTTTGCAGACAAGACCTTGCTTTCTAAAGTAACGATGGTACTCGAAAACACTGATTCATTCCCGAGGATTTTCTCGCGTATAGCGGGAAAAAAAGGTAGCAAAATGTGAAATACCTCGCAAAAAGTAGAAATATGTTTTATCGATCTTTAGATTTCTAATTGTATCAATTTAAAAATAAATGTGTAAAATTAGCTAATCCAAACATTATTCTTAATCTTAAATCGCGATGCAAAAGATATGAGATGTAATATTTCGCGTAAAACATAAATATTAGACAAGATTCCATAAAAATACATCTCAAATCAAATTTTCTGAAAAACAGAGAAGAGAGCAGTTATTTCGTTGCTCCCGACAGGTATGAAAATATATTTCTATCTTATGTATTCATATTTCTACCATATAAGATTTCCTCTATTATTCTTATATCGGTCTCCTCTATATACAAATATATGTATACAGAGAAACCTTATGTTTCAGAAGAACGGGACATTCATATACCACTACACGAAAAAAGTTGCTTTTTTTACGGTAAGAAAGGTTTCTGCACGGTAAGTTATGTAAGGCGATCCCTCTCTATCGTTGGCTATAAAGAGCGTTTTTTCGCGCAAAAACGTTGAACGTGAGGTTTAGAAAGGTTTTAGATAAAAAAGAGTCTTCAGAATCTCGCGTGTACTGTTTTCCTATGTGATACCATCACGATTGAGAGTTACGGTGTCTAATAAAAGTGAGGGAAAGTAAATAGGAAACTTTTCTAACACAGCTTTTCCCGCACAGCGACTTCCTATCTTTTGTTCGATGATTTTCTCGCGATAACTTTGTATTAACGGAGACAAATCGATGAGAGAGGTCAATGAATTATATTATCAAGTGTAATTAACAAAGAAACAAAGTATAATAATTCATCAGACTTTGTTATCTTAACGCAATTATTTTAACCAACGATACGCTCCGTACCAACGATCAATTTCGTTCGATATTGCATCGCTTCGAGTCAAGAAGATCGCTATTTTGTTCATATCAAATTCAAAGCAAGCGTGCGATATATATCGACAGTTTTCGTCCGGCTGTCGTATACATATAATGGAGCGGTAATATGATTGTCGCATCGCGGTTTCGATCTTCTACCTCGGCGCAGTTTAGTTACGGCGGCGGCGGACATATCTAATTTTACCGTCGTTATTACATACCGTCCACCGACCGCACGCTGTTCTTGCCGAGAAATTAATGTCGACCGGCAACCGGCAGCCTTTCCGTGGTCGGCTGATGCCGCGGGTCAATAGTCTCCCCCAACGGCAATCCAAACACTTCAATTAGGAGGCTTGTTGAATCTTCCTCTCCTCTCCCTCTCACTCGTAAACTTTATCGTAAACGCGCCATCACGTTGAAGGAATCTGAGGCGTCTTACCCTAATTCGGCACGATTAGTGCTTAGAAACCAAGTTCTTACACGCGCCATGTACTTAACCGTAATTGAAAAATTGTTTCTTTGTTTTTACAGATCTTGCTATTATACAATCGCGATTAAAATAATAACAAGAGCGTAATTCTGAGACAAAGAACGAATGTTACTTTTGCGTATGTCGTTTAAAGTTCGCTTATGGAAATTTCTGACTGATACTTTTTCAGCATTAAAAAAGATTTAACGCTACCTTTCCGCAGGCATAACATTTAATAAGAAATATGTTAATCAATGGTCACTCAATCCATCGTGTGTGTTTTATATTTATTTCTCTCTTGGACTGTGTTTCTCGATGGATTCGCGTTCGAATCCATCGAGAAACACTGAGAATGGAGAAATTATCTAACAATATGCAATAAATGTGTTACAATCTTTCTATTAACAAATGGAACATCAAATGGAAAAATTTGACATCCGGCATAACATTATAAAATAATAATCATGCAAATAGTTTTTCTCTCGAATGGCTCAATGATATTAACGAATTTAATTTTAACTTCAAAAGAGCAATGAGTACAAAGGGTGTAATCCTATTTTTTCCTATTTTGCCTATTTTGTATGTGCGATAAAAGCCCTTTTCATCTCTTTTCATCCTTTAAAACCCGATATTTTTGACCCAATTTTAATTTTTTACGTCTATATTTCAGGCAAAAGAATTTTTTTATATTCATGGTAACGCGGCATCCCTCCAAGGGATTATCAATTGATGAATTGGTACTTACTGCTCGGTGTCCGCGGGATCGTCGCTGGATGCGCGTAATGCCGTGTACAGGGTGACGATTACAGCTGGCACTGGCCAACCGAGTCCCATCAGCCAATTGACTAATTTGTGCTCGCTGGTGAATGCGCTCACTAGCAGCGTGTGCAGGTAGAAGCCTTCGCAGAGCATCCAGGCGTAGTTTGTTAATAGAAAGTAATGAAGGAACGTGTGCAGGACACGACACGGTATCTGTAAAGCACGAGCCCTCATAAACGTCCCTTTCAAAGCGACTCAAACAAGCCGCGTTCGTTCGCCAAGTCAATCGGAACAATTGTGCTCATATCGAGTTCAAATGCGATATTTCCTAATGATGTTAATAGCCCTCTCACATTTCTTAATGGCTACAAATAAATGTTTACCACTTTTAACGATTCTATGATCATTATACCATGTACCGTTGAAGAATGTTTCACAGTTATCGTTAGTTTAGTGTCGCATGACTATCCTGATTAATTTTACGCTCAAACTTGTTTTACGTAAACATTTATTTGTGTCCGTTTTTATTTTTAAAATTTTTGTAACGGCAATTATATTGTCCATTGATGATTTTTTTAAATTTTTTTATAAATAAATGAATAATAAAGTAATATATGTTCAAAAAAAGAAAACAAATTATTTGTTTTAAGAGTAACAACAGAGAGACGTTATTCTCGTTATCTTAATAAATGTCGTAAGTTTCAATTTTCCCAAATAGATTCTTAGACTCTAGATTCATGTCTATCTTTATACATTTTCCCTCTTCCATATTATATGATATCCCATTATTTTTTTTTTTTTTTTTTAAATACGTACGTCATTATTAAGTAACACATCCGTGTTTGCTACTATAAACCTGTACCAAATCAACCACAAAGCATTGTTGATCGCGAACGAGGTGAATAGGTTCATATGTAGCGTAATCCGCGCGCATCTGAGAGATCTGCGTGCAAAGAAAAAAAAAAAGAGAATGTTTAATCTTACGTCTCCGAAAGCCCAATTTCGTGTTATAGGGTAGCAACAAAGGAACTGAGAATCCATCAAACGCGATTGTGCATATAAGAATAGGATATCGGTCAACCGCTACCTAAGCTAGTTCAATATTATCGAATAGAATCTATTAGTCTACGATTGTCGTATTTTCAACGACAGCAGATACTTGGATAAACAATATCTAAAACTTGCCTATAGTACAATATACACGTATATAGTAATTAATACAAAATTATGCCTCTTAATGTATCTAGAAATATATTAAGAACTCTCTTTTAATATTTTTAGGTAATGTCCTTTGTGTTGCGCACCCATTATAGGATTTTTAAAATATTTTTTCCAATCTTTCAAATATATAAATTTTATTATGGCGAGTATCCTAGTTTTCTTTCAGTGATTAAATTCAAACATATTTCGAAAATTAAATTTCAGAATTCTTGCATTAACGCGCATAGAAACTTTAATATTCTGTCGACGTAACGAAGATAATAACAACGTCAATAAATTTAAAACTTACCGGAAGTACGTGAGAATTCCTAGGGAAAGCAATAGCGCTACCAAAGATATTGCGTATCCCACCTCGTAAATCCCATTTATACTCTGCTGCCACTGTAATCGTATTATCAAAAATTTTAAACTCCTCTCTTGCGTTTTAGATAAGACTGATAACTTTTAGAGTTGCGTCTTAATGCTCATTAATTCTTTTTCCTATTATGCAGATGACGCAAGCCGCGATCCTATTATTTCCGTCGGAAAATTGCGCAGTTTCGGATTGAAGGTCGAAATTACGACATAGTGAAGAGCGAGAACCTGATACCGATCGTTTCTCTGATTAATTATCGTTTCCGCTGCAACTCTTCGCACATGCACTGCCAAAAGAATTGATACTATCGCGTCCACATTTGTCACATAAAATTATCGAAATAAAAAGTATCTCGAATCGTATCTCGTAATATATCGTCGTCATAATCCGGATTGAGCAAGATACCGCTAAAACGTACATCGGGTATAAAATAACATGAAAAATATTTTTCAATTATCCATAAAAAATGTAACATATTGTAAGAATAAGTTTTAAGCGTAACGAGAGATATATCAAATATTCGTTTTTGCAGAATCGTTTTTAAAAAATTTAAATAAAAAGTCGAGAATTTTCCTTAAAAAAACAAAGAAAAAGGATTACATGAAGTAAAAAAATAACGCAACTGACGACGAAACTTGTTTCATACAAAGTATTAAAATAATATAGCGACCCTTTCTTTTATCTCGGAACGGAAGTCTCCGAGGCCTACGAATGCGAAAATTCGTATCCGGTTACAATCACTGTCCGACTGTTACTATCCCGGACTACTTTCGGCTCTCGTTAGAGCGTTCCCGTAGGAATGCCTCGAAATTGATTTTCTTCGAGGAATTTTTTCGGTTGCCGAAAAACAACGTTGATGAACTTCGGAACTCGGTTCGGAAGCAGTCAACGAGAAAAGAGTCACGAGCATCAAAAAAATTCATTCTCATATTTTTCTCATTCACGAATGACGCGGTCGCCCGTCAACGTTTTGTCGCTTTAAAATTCATTCGCTTACAAGATCCTCCGTGTCCCTCGGGTCGCTCTCTTCCCCCCCATTCCATCCATTCCCCCGGCAATCCCCGTACTTCCTTTACGCCGGCACATGCAAATCTTACCACATCTGCAAAGCAAAGTCGGCCAGTAATAAGGCTTTGTAACGTTGTCCTACGTATGACAAATGTCCGCCAGACACGAAGTATTTATGAGACCAACCGAAAACTTGTCTCATTGACTTGCGTCAAGGACAAGTTCGGATCTGAAAAATTGATCGACGCAAGTCAGGCTTGAGTTTCGGGACGAAAAGAAAGGCAAATCCGGATATTGTCCAAAAGCCCGACTGTGTATAATTACGCTTATTCATTGAGCATGTAAAGCAAAATGACGTGGCTCGACGGCTCATCATGAATAGAAATCTATTTTCGTATTTATCAGAACTGCCGCTATGTATGATGTTGAAGAGGCATATCACGGGGAAAGCATTAAGTCCTCTGCTCGCAATGAGGTCGGAAAGCGGCATTATTCTTAACCGCCATCGTACAAACGTCGCGTTACTTATTAACGCTACGCTTGCACGAAAGCTCGCACAAATCCACGCTTTCATGTTCGCTACTTATGAATAAGGTACTGCGGCTTAAATCGCGCGCAAATGCGAAATTCATATTTCATTTTTTCGAAACATGCGAACATGCTGTATGAGATGCCACATTAGCTACGATACTAGCTATCGTATGAATATTACAATTTACAAAACAAAAAGGAATGATCCATGTGTGCGCGAGTGTTGTTTCCTATGTATAAATGTTTACGATTAGATATTGATCGGTGTTTCCCAGCAAAATTTGTCAAAGGATCGTAATTATATACAATTATCATATACACTATATTATCGGAAAATACATTATGTAATATTATTATGCGTATTATGTAACACAGTTATCGCAGTAATAAAATCTCAATCCGGTTATATTTATTTCATGTAAGAAATGGAAAGATCACATTTCAATGTTAAATTTACTTCTCGAGAAGGCCAAAACAAATCAGATATGGCGCCGCGTGTACTTGAAAGTGAAATACGGCAAATTCATTCAGTTTGATTCGAATATTCTGAATGTGAATATCATAATTATGAAAATCAAGTCCATACGGAGCTTAAAAGGGGGGGTTCGCGCATAGGTCACATGTGTCTCACGCCGCGCTACGGTGTGGTCGATGCTAAATAATTCATGAAGTTCGGGAACGTACGCAATCTCCAGATACACTGTCAGCTCTATCTTGAGATTACACGGCACTTGATAGAATAGATAGAAGAGCCGAAGAGCCGCGGGTCTCTCTCACTCTCTCCCAATATCGGATTAACCGCTGGTCCCAGAAATTATATCGTTGCTGCATGCGGGAACATGATAATTTTATCAAACGCGAACAAACGTATAATTGTATCGTATATCCTGGGCTGCCTTCACTCTCTTGACTTTATTATGTATCGATATCGATAGTAGGGATTATCTCACACGCGCTACATTACAGCTTATTGTCATTTGCACAATCCGTTTAATATTAGAAGGCAAGATAAATCCTCAATTTCGCATACCCGTCGTATTGTCAAATTGAAATCAGGCTATCGCTGTTTACCGACTGCGTTGGATTCCGCGTGAACGCGATGAATTCAGTCGGAACGTGACAATATCGCGCGATATCATCGATTCAATTATGAGAGAGAGCTGCGAATTTAATAAAACGATAAGAGTCAATATAATGAAGCAAACAAAAATAAATATTTAAATAAATATATATTCGAGTAAAAAAATATATTTTATTTTAGAAAATATGTATTTTTATTTTGATAGATTTTTTCTAAATTATAGATCAAACCAATTTTCATACGCAATCAAAATCTATCAAAGTTGCAGTTTTGCAGTTTTGCAACAATAGTCGCGAAAAATTATACGCGAGGAATAGCACGACTACATGTACTCACATGCGAACATTGCGTAATATCTCCATTTCGTAACAATGAAACTTGATCTTATATTAAGATTATGCAAGACCTTCGTGTTTTACAGCTTTTATCCCACTCCTTGAAAATCCTTGAAAGATGTGATTAATTCAGACGCGAATATTTCAGAAGGATACTTCTAGAAGTGAATCTAGAGTCTAGTTCAGTTTAAACTTCGTGTCTAAAATAATCGTGTCTTTTGGAACTTAAGGATCGCATATCGTCAAACGTAATTAAAGCATGTAAGTAAATGGAATGTTTTGTGTATACGTCTCTTGTATTTATGATGGTGCAAATTTTTCGCGGTGTTTTTAAATAGCATTATAATATATCTAGAATGTGCGCGCATTCAAAATAAGACATTTAAATTGCATAAAGATTAATTAAAAAATAGTAGCATAAAAATATCAGGATTATAATGATACAAGTTGTGAAAGCAACAAAGATGAAACGTTAGTGTCAAATAGAATTTGCGCGTTTAAAGTCATATACACGTATGTATATCGATCTATTAATTTTCTAATTCTAGCTCAGATAACATTGAATTTGATTCTTCGAATACTCTTGTATTTTTAACTTATCACTTACACTTTGTAGATCGTGAATCGTTAGAAATTAACAATTGAGATTTCAGTTTCCCGTGTATCATATCTCTCGAACTTTATTTATTATTTACAAGTCTAAGACTTTGAAATCTGATTCTATACTCATACATATAATGTTAGCGGAATATCCGTGCAAGAAAAAAATGAATGAAATGTTGTATATTGTTGTATCGTGTAATCAATCGATATTAAATTTGAATAAAATTATTCGCATTACAATTGTCAATCTTTGAATTGTCAAAATATACAATTGACAGTCCCTCACAGTACGAAGCGCATCAATCAGCATCGCGGAAAAGAGATAATGAAATTCGATTCGATTTTACATGCCTTTTTAAAGGGTACGGGAGAACATGCTTTTAAAATAATTGTCAAACAAAAGTGATTCCGATGCGGATGATGAAAATTTTATTTCTATTTACATATATAATATTTTTGCGGGACGCAAAATTGCTTCTCGATAGAAAATTACTACTTGATGCAATTTAAGTGCATTTATTTGCATAAGCTGTGTTTTCTGTTTTCGCAATAATATTTATTTCGGAATCGAGATGTTGCTAATGTTAGAAATACATGTGGATGTAAACGTTCATTGTGTATGCGAAGGTGTGAATACAAAGGCTTTTGTCATAACGTACAAAGAATCGATTTCATTTGAAAATGCAACGCAGTGCGTATGTACACAACAGCTCATTCACGTCAGACATGTGTGAATATTAAAAAGTCCGGGATACCGCTATCTCCGTAAAAAGGCGAAGTATGTATTATTTCGTAATTTGAAAAAAAAAAAAAAGAAAAAGGAGAAATTAGATAAAAGAGCAGAGTACGAAGGTAACTCGGTTACGACGGCGTATCATTAACGGAGTTTAATGAATCCTTTCGTTTTGACCTCGCGCTTTCCGTAGACAAAACGGAAGAATTAAGCCAACAGGAAGATACTGCATGAAGTAGAAATTACTCGGTTAAATTACCGTCAAGAGTATGTGTATGCATGTGGAGAGACAGTACATGCAAAAATATATATTTCCTTTCTTTCTTTCGAGCTTTTCTTCGGTCTCGTTTCTCTGGACCCAAAAAATAAGCGCGCGCCTTATCGTCATATAAAATAGGAGACCGCAGCGCAGTATTTTCCACCGTTTCATATTTTCTGCGTCAAGCTCTCTCGCGCGTTATACTACGAATGACCACGATCGAGCGAACTGATGGGGGAGCAATCGCGTCTAATTAAGGAAAGGGGAAACTCGGTAATTTCTAAACTAATCTTGAATGTTCACGTGACGATGAAAGGAACGTAAGACGCTTGTTAATGCTTTTGACCTGAAAAATTGGTCTTCCAAGATTGGGAAACTGGAATAAAATGGAAAAATTATACAGATTATTAAATATTCAAATCATATATCTTTCCGAGCCGCATTTTTGACGCAATTTTCTCGTGCTGTTATAACTGTTTCTGTCGATTGTATTTTGCTCGATTATTGATTTATTAATTTTATTAGAGAATTATTTCTAATATCTGTTTTACACAAAACACCTAAAATTTATCATCCGAATTGTATAATAAACTATTCGTACATTTCAAACTTTTTACACATTTTTCTCGCAAAATTCAAATCGCGTTACTCGATATGTCCCAGACTCGTATCTCATCTCATACCGTGACAATGAAGCTTCGCTGTAAGAATTCGACTTAGAAAGGGTTTCCTGCTGTTGGCCTCGGCGCTGGAAATTTCATCGACCGACGTCTCGACGAAAAATAAAGGCGCAAACATCGACATTGATGTCAATGCGCGTTAGAAGTGAATGTCGACGCGGCGTTGATGGGTATGTCAGGAAAGCGGCTTTAACGTGCCTTAATAGTTCCGTGCCTGTGTATCAAAATGAAGCCGGTCCTAATGAATAGCACGTTGCATGAGAAGGATGTTGACACGCGGATGTGACGTTACGTAAAAGCGGCTTCTCACAAGCGCTTCATCACATTATCGCACTGTCTCGCGCGCGTTAGAAGCTTGCTGTTTTCCGACCCTTCAATCCCGGATTTAATGAGCGGTGTCAAAAAATCTCAACTAAATCCCTTTATCTCCGGTCGGTCGGGCGGTCGAGAGAAAAAGAGAAAAGTCGCAAAAATGTCGGCGCGTTTCGGCAATACCGCATAGCCCAGTGAAATTAGACGAAAAAATATCAAATCTGCGGAAAAATTCGCACCCAGCTAAATTTTTGCACGGACCTTTATTTCGTCGTTATAAATAATATGTGAAAAGTTCCCATCGATATGACCCCTACTAAAAATTTTACAGAGGGTCAAAGGTAAAAAAAAAACAGTTTTTCGCGAATATCTCTTTATCCACTAGTCCACTAGGCAAAAATAATTATTACAAAATTTGTAGCTTATAAATCCTAATTTCCCTAGACTAGCATGCAAGAGACATTAGACATTGTAAAGTAGAGGGATCCGGCTTTTTTTGAGGGAGGGGGGGGGGGGGGAGGGAGAGAGAGAGAGAACCTAGGAAATTTAGCTTCGTAATTTCACGCTTGTCTCTCTTTTTTCAATTTTGCGCGTTCTCTTTTTACTAATGTTTCCGGCGCGTCATAAATCCGATCCATCGAGCCGCGATATATGCAGAGCGACGACAGAGAAATCAATTCTTCGGATATGAAGGAAAAAAAAACAACTTTCTTTCTTGCGCTCTATATCGGCGCAATATTGGTATTATCATTCGAGATTGGCCCAGAAGTATCGGGGATGCCCTCAAGCGAGTAATGTATAGCGTTTGCCGCGGAGATAGATTGCAAGTCGCGATCGCGTGATCGCTGAAATTGTTCCCTCCCTACGATGCAAAATAAGTAATAGGACATTCCCTGTCGTATGCACACGGGGGATGCGCGTGTCTTTCGAATATTTCAACAAACGCGTCCCGCTCAAACGATATTAGCTCCCGAGAGAATATACCGCGAGTCTCGCGTATGCTGATCGTGTGCCTTCGGATGGAATAATGCGGAATCGAACCCGTGTCAGGACGACGACGTGTCACGCACGAGACTTTGAGAGGACGTATGTAACTGGGACTCGCGTATGTCGCGGACTTACATGTTATTTCCCAGACAGATAAACTACACGCGTCGTTCTTAAGCGTTGGAATTTGTCATCAAAAACCTTAAATATCGATCTTTTTCATTGCCGATTGCGCCGAATGTTCCTCGATATAGTTTGTCCCTTTGACGCCAAATCTTTGATGATCGATTTAATTTATTTATGCGATCGGAAAGAGAGGTTGATACCTTTAGAAATTACTCACACTCAGATCCTGTAGATTCACGCAAGTCGTGTAATTGCTCCATATTTGATTGGACTGGGGATGCCGAAACCACGTACCGTTCAGTTCGCAATACTTGTGTGCCATGACTGCAACAAAGATTACAAAAATTTTTCATTAAATTCATTTAACACGTGATGATGTCGAAAGATTGGAATCATATTTATTGATTTGATTATATATTGTACGTTAATATTGTACTATTCCTAGCCGATCGTGTCGTAGTGTACGCTATGTAAAAAAAGAAGAAAGCTCGAAAGTACGTGCCTTAGAGAGAAAAGTTCACGTCAGTTTTATATCGCTTTGATGTAATGTATTCGCTTTGATGCTTAACAGAGATAAGAAACGTAAAAATATTTTCTGACACCGACTGCATAATCATTCAACAAAGTTAAGTCCGTTTCTTGTCGAAGCTCGTTCAAACTTCCGTCCGTCCTGGCGAAACAACAAGATAATTTAAAATTTCCCGATGAAAGATACTTGTAGAAAACTGCGCCGGCGGCGTCGCCTGAAGAACCGAGAGTTGGCACCCACTCCATCCCTATTAGGCGGTAAGGGGGAAGGGAGGATATTATTCCTCCCCGCAGATCCGCAGTTTAATAATTCGCAGATAAAACTATAAATGCAAATTGAACTTTAACGGCCCCGCATCTACGAAACGCCGCTCGATTAAACTTATCTTTGGAAAGAATAAACTTGGACTCGCGTCAACCATTTAATGCTTCGCGCTCTTTTCCCATCTTAATTAGCCGATGAGATCCGATGTAAATATTCGGCGTGTACGAGAGTAACTGACGGGTTAGTCTGTGAATTTATGTTTTTGTTCGTCAAGCGTGATCTCTCCGAGTTTTACATAGTTTTGCGGGTATTAGAATAACGCCGTGCCGATCAGTCGTGCCGAGTAGAGAGAGGGGAGGGGGGGCACACACAGTCTATCTTAATCTAATTGATTCCAATAAAAACACAGAAATTAGAAAAAAATAATAAAATTAAAGAAAAAAGATATCTAGAAACGCATATCTGTGATGTATTTTCAAAGCAAAAAAAAAAAGAGTTATCCTTTCTCCTTCTGAAGGAAAGCAAAAAAAAAAGTAACGTATCATTGTACGAGTGCTTCGATAATTTTATCCAGTTTCGTTGCATCCATAATGTTACAAATATAATACGATTTTGATCTACTTCTATGTACTATGTACCTACTTATTTGCGCGCTCGTGGATAATGTTTATCAATGCGTTCCCTCCGTTAGAGTATGTAAAGCGCTTCAAAGTCGCAGTACAAACTAACGACCGTGTCGGCAAGCGTGGTGTGGCGATTAAACGCCATTCATCGTAAAGATAGTTTCTGGGGAAAGGCACATTTACGAAGACGCGACTATGCGAGAAACGACACGGTCGCACGCAAGAGAATGAGCGATGTGCGTGGTCTCGGAGTTATATTACCGGGGCGCGTAATTCGTCGTAAATGGCACGGAGAGAGAAATAACGTCTCTCTTGCATACGAATACGCGTTACGTGGGTGAATAATACGGCAATAAGTTGTGTTGCAATGACAATGTAACGGGGAATATTAGAATACGCGCGAGTCGCGCTGTAATTTCGCCCGGGTTTTTGGTCCGAAACTTCCTTCTACACATGTTCTCGAAATGGCAACAGTTTAGAGTGTGCTACCGCGCGCCTTGGAGGAGGAAATCAATTTTCTCCTCTCTCGAAACATGTCCGAACTACGTGATCGCATCGTGCGAAAGCAATTTGAATCATTAAAAAGCGCGCACACGATTACTGCAATTATCATTCATTTCGTAGTTTTAAACCCGCGCCCCTTTTTTTCTTCCACCGTTCCGACATTCTAGGGTATCATCGAAAATATCACCGCGAATGTTCCATGGAAGGGAACGTATCGATTTGCAGCGACCTATTAACCGGTCGCACAATGCTGTAGTCTTACTAAAAAAAAAAAAAAAAACTTGCAAAGATCATTACAAAGGTCGATGAGTTAAAATTTTTAAAATATCAGACGTAAGAGTCGCGCTAAATATATTCTTGGAACATTTTTTATCAGTAGCATCCAATAGCATCTATAACGCGTTATTCATATTTCTAGGGAACAATTTAAAACCTTTCCGATTTAAACTTCATTATCTGCTGATTACATATTAGACTATTAGACAATGGAACTTTAAATATTTTGGTTTGTTTCTTGTCGGGATTATAGTGTTAGAGGTACGATCGATGATTTTAACGTAAATGTTTGATCCCAAAGCAGGAATTATACTATAATAGTAACACCACTGTAATTTTAGATATATATTTAGCATTCTTTTTATATTTTATTAAATTGCCGAATGAAAATTTACCAAACCGCAAGAGCTTTAATAAAAACAAAAAAAGGGTACGTTTCCTAATCGATTGAAAATTGTAAAATTGCAAAAAATCATCGGAATTGCACGCAATTTTCCATACTACCAACCGTATAATCGTTAAACTTGAAAATTCAAAGTAACAGTTTTGAACGGCATTGATCAGTATTGAACAATCATCAGTGACAGATTTTAATGGCTTCGGATGATTTGGTCCTATCGGACGGATAATTTTTGAGTTTGGTCGAGTGAAAAAACGCGCTTAGTTCGCATTTATTTCGAAAGAAAGAAAAAAAGAGAGTGCAAGGAGAGAAAATTACGCGTGGAACGATTATTTGCTCGCTCGTTTGGTCGCTCATTATTTCGTGATGAGAGTCGATCGATCGCGCGAGTTGGCAGACTCGCCTACAAACCCGTCGGATGTTCGCCGAGCGTGAGGTATCGATGTCCGCCCTTAATTCGTCCATCACCCCTTTCTTGCATCTTCCCTTCCGACAGGCGTCGTCATTACATCACATTTATCTTCCTCCCCGTGTCCGGATGGAGAACTAGATGCTCCACCCAGACTTTAAAAAGAGGTATATGTATACGTATATATATGTATACATATATGTAGATATATGTATATACGAGCAAACACGCGCGCGTATACGAGAATCGGGTCGGGCCGCATATACAAGCAGTGGCCTTTTAACGCAAAACTCTTGCCGTGCAGGGTGACACGGCGAGATTTATTCGCGAAATTAAAATGGCGAAACGCTCGTTAGAAAAAGAATACCCGACGTTTAATTCCCAAATAATAGATGCAACGCATCTGCACGAGTACCGATTTCAAAAAAAAAAAAAAAAAAAAAAAAAAAAAAAAAAAAAAAAAGAAAAAAGTATTCTCGATGCAGTGGAAGAGCACGTAGTGCTTCGAGTGTAATAAGGAGATAACAAAACGCTATTAGAGACCGTTGTTTTCTGAAATACAACCTAATTGGAAGATAACTTTTCACTAGGAATCCATCTGTGTATACATCTGCCCACGCGCATGTATACCCTATTTTGCACCTCGAAATCAGCATACCTCATTCTGCTTCTGACCCATTCTAGACGGCACGGTCATTAATGTTGTGAAGTGTTTAATTAATGAGATTAACAATTAACGAGAGAATGAATGAAATATGGTTCTCTTTCCGGGAACCAGTAACGGATTAATTCTGTCGGATTAACAAGTAAAACGACGAGACGTATGTGCGATTTCATCAAGATACCTCCAAGATTTTCTTTTTATCGTAAAATATGAAATATGAAAGAGGTATCCTCCGATCTTTCTCAGATTCTTCTAAAATATCCTTTAATAATAATTATAAGATTCGCCAATGATACATTTGTATTTCACACGGGATGTTATTTTTAGACGGTTCTTATCTCCTGGTATATTATTTGAAAAATCGTTGGTCATCTTTAAATCAATAAAGTAACACGAAATCCTTGCTTGCGTAACGCAAAAAGAAATATTCAGCTCGCAAAACTAATGCATCACCTCGAAAAATTAAATGAAAATGAGTTTTGAGCGTCAAACTATCTACGAACTAACAATACGAAATTGTGATAAAATTCGAAAAATGTAAATTGCTTCTTACATATTTGTTATTTGCAGTATGTGGATAATACAAATATAAATCTATATAATTTAATTACCGGAAGGTCTTCCGTTACACGTCATTTATGCGATAAATTATATTGCAAGGAATTCGCGTCTCTCTCGCATGTACATAATTCTCTCAACTCTATTATTTATTAATATTATATTTCCTTGTTGGAAATATAAAATAATTCGAGAATTGTGTATATGTATAATACTTATATACAGTCAAGCATATGTGTGTAATAATATCACTCTCTATACATACATATACTATTACATAGAGATACATAGAGACATATATGCATATAAAATAAACTGGCTTGAATATTGTCTACACATACTTCACTTGAGAAATTACTTTTTAGCGCATTTATGACTTCCCGTCTCAACTGACAACTTATCAGGGTGGTGGTTGAAGGTGATGAATGTCAGTGGATTCTCTATAGCCCCAAACTAATACCACGAGTTCCCATAGATCATAGAGATGACAAACCAAATGCAATTAAATGCGTCTGTTGTAAAACCTCTTCTTTTTCTTTTTTGAGTTATCAAAAGCTTTCTTTTCAATAATGTTTGTAAAACGTTGATAAATAATTTTTGATAAAACGTTTATGATTAAATAACGAAAAATTCAAGTTTGTTGTAGTGCGTCGGAGATTAAATTAAATTAGCCTTTAAATTCACGCACAAAAATACAAAAATATTTGAGAATTTTCAACAGTGCATGTGTCTAATTTTATATTATCTAAAAAAATTAAATAATCTAAATAATAATGTTTAATATTTAGTTATAGGTTTGAGAGATTATGTTTTAGATCATTTTATATGTACATATGGCTAACGATAAGATAAATACAAAGAGACTGGAGATGAAGACAAATTGCCCAGACGTTATCGATAGAAAATGTTGAGAAATAGTCGTATAGATTAGAAAATAAAATAAAACGATTAAAAAATTAATTTTTTTATAACTTCTTGAACTATTATCTCGTCTCAGTATTGTAGAACGTATTCTTATTTTAATTTTAAGTTCCACATTTCACATTTCACTACTTTGAACTCTTGTTCTTTGATCTCGTTTTAAATGAAATCTTTTTCCGGTTCTATGAGAATATCCGTTAAATTAACGTAACTAAACTCTTCACTGATCTCGTTGCAGCGACTGGTGATGCGTTTCGCGAGAGTATTAACAGAAACGGGATACTATGGATTGTCGAAGAGAGTAGAGATTGTATCGGAGTAGAGATTGTATTTTTTTCCCGCGAAAAGGCATCTCTCCCCCCGTTCAGGATCGCGCAATCAGGCAACCATTTGTGCACAGTCAAAAAAGAATAATTGTACATATTGTTCGTAGAATGACCGGAATAAGGTAAAAAAACTCGTCTGTCAGAGTGATCGGTTCGTTCGTTCGTAAAATTTATCCGATGTACGTATGAACAACGAGAAAGCAATGCAAGAGATCGTATCTTGAATATCTTGGATACAGAGTACTCAACATGAGTCGAGAAGTCTCGTGGAACTTTATTAATATCGTCGGAGTGTTCGCGAAAGTTTCAATCAGCTTCGCCGATAACCGATACGTACATCGCGTTGCGGCGCGTTGAAGGATCGATAGCGCACTTGAGCGATTTCAAGCGTGCGAGTATATCAATTTGCAGCATCCGTTGAGAGGGCCAAGTATTTAGCTTCGAATCTGACAGATCACACGAATCAGGAAGGAAGAGATAAATTAGGAATTTGCAATTAATTCTCTCAGCAAAAGACATGATACGTTGTGTACAAATATTTTTGTCGTCAAACTCGCATCATCAAAAGTTTTTTCGCTGGGAATTTCATTTCGGAGATGCATACTTTCGCAAGAAACTTCTAAGGTATTCCGAATAAAAACAAATGTAGTAAATCGTTGTCCGAATTGCTTTCGCGCATGTTCGCACCGAATTCAAATTTACACTTGATATTGAATGCTTATCGAACGCTTTTTCGCCGCTTCTTATTAAGAATCGAGTCGAATTTAGAATGCTGCATTCGTTTCAACGAGATTACGTTTTAGCGCGGAGCTAATCGATATTCGTTGCTCTTGATTTTTCCCAACATTAACCTATCCATGTGGAGACTGTCGTAAAGTTTATGCTCGCCCATATTTGACATTATCCAAATCGCAAAAATTTAAATAAAAGAATCCACGGGCATTTGCGTATTACAATAATTAAACTATGACATAGATATTTTAATGTAACATATAAATCATACATACATTAAAGCAAAATCGGATGTTATTCCCCCCTTTCTTTATCCTTCTCATACACATTCACGAAATAATAACGAGATATTACAATACGGAAGAGGAGCGTTCATTTTTTCAGTATAGTCTTGTGTTTGTCAAACACATTAGTGTACGTAAATATGCGCTTTCTGGCGATCATGTTGCTGGCTTTTATTTCTTTTTTCTTTTACTATCTTTGTCTTTCTCACTTTTCTAATAGAAAAAATATTTTATTTATTTGCAGCTGTGTGATTTTATACTCTTTATAAAATACTAAAGATCTTTTCTCTCCCGTGCATAAAGACAGAGAATGAAAAGGAGAGAGACAGAGGAAAAGAGGGGGGGGGGAGAGAGAGAGAGAGAGAGAGAATTATATATATATATATATATATATATATGAGAAAAGAATTAAATATATTGCGATATATGTACTTGTAATACCTAAGGGTAGAAAACACGTCTATATGCGAGAATCCGAGCAATCAGATTTTTTCTTTTCGATAGCCTGAAACTTTTTAGCTCGATGTAACGCGATCCATTAAGCACTCCGAAGTAGAGAAGCAGGATATATCAAAGAGGTTCCACTTTACCATATCATTTCTTCTCTTCTAGTACATACGTATATAGAGAAAAAGAGGAATGCAAGACATTGACTGTAAGATTACGAGCTACATAATCGTGTCAGTTTTATTTCCTTATCGCTTCGAGAAAGTGAAGTCAATAAAAGAGAAACTTAAAGGAAAAATTTAATATATTGTACATAATCTTTGTTAATTTACTCAATCTTTTCAAATAGCACAAATGATTTCACTTCTGTCTTATAACCTTTCAAAGCTCATGAATCTATACGACAAGTTTTGTACGCAATTTTTATATACGCTTTTTAATATTACTAACGTCAAAAATGTGATAAATTTACATGGTTGATAAAGCGTAAATGGCTATTTTGATACGCGTACTTAAAAAAAAAAACTTATTCATAAATCAACTTTTTATCGGTATGAACTTCATGGATTTTTTTTTCCACGGAAGTGACTTTGTCGTTTTATATTTGACTTTAAGAAAAAGCTTTATCATCGGTTTAGCTTATATCACTAATAGCTACTGTGTGCATTGTATCTATCATAATCTATTTGTTCCTAAATTTGCATATTAATATTGCATATTCATGTTGTTATTTTGTTTCATGATTTGTTATCCAGAAGATTTGGGTTGTAGAGACTAGAATAATATTATGATAAATTAGGATGCAGTAATATACTCGCCCAATATCTCCGAACAAGTTCGGGACCAATAATACACTTTCTTAATAATATACATATCTGTACGAAATTTTTTAACAAAGAGAAAATAACGAAATATTAAACGAAATACAATACAAATACACTTTAATATAAATCGATGTCAGATACACGGTATCCGGTGTAATTGACGTTATACAAAGTAGCAGAGATGTAAGCAGAGACTTTCTTTGACCCCATTTCACGTTTATCGATCGCAAGTGTGCGATCTCGCAACGACGAACGGTAGTAGTTTTGACGGATAACAAAAACGCTTTCGTTTATGCTCGGTCTCTGTAACGTGATGCATGCAAAGACTGACCCCATAAATCATATTCGATTCGCGGTCGTAACCATGTAATCATCATTATGATCGACACGTGAAAAATGCTTTTGCAGTACACTCAGTCTTCGTGAAAACAAACAAGAGGCGGATAGAAAGGACAAAGGGTTCTTTTATGTTGTATGATTTATGGCAGCAATGTTTGTGTGTTAAAAAACCTACAGAAATCCGAATCAAATAATCAAAATAGACTCCGAACAAAGATATAAAGATTACAATTCTTTCAAAATACGAAATTATAAATGGAGTTTCCGATAGTTTGGTATAGCAGTCTACTGTCATGAGATCAGCAGTATTTACATTTCTTTTCCCGAAGCACTCAACCGTCTTACGCGCCCCGATCAACGAGCAATCTCCGACAACAGCTGATCAGAGCATTGTACTTACAAGACAATCTAGCGAAAATTCTGATTTTGATGTAACTGAAAATTTCTAAATTTATCTATTTACCCCATCCCTTCCCCTCCTGCTCCACCCTCTCTTCCTACACATGTGTGTTCATCAAAATCAGAATTTTCCTTGAATTTTCCAGAAGTTTCCTTGTTCATTGTTTCCAAAGTGATCAATATCGATTTGTCTTAACATCTCGTTCTTGGAATCAGTCTGCTGTCGACTTTTCATTCGTTTCACACATATCTCGCTTCTATTTAAGGTTCTCTAGGCATATTATATCTACTGCATAATTCAGTGCAATATTGGGTAAAATTAAAGAGTGACTCTTTTCAAGACATATCTTTATCTTGCGTCACAATTTGAAAAATCTTCTTCGGAGAGCTAAGGAGCTGGTCACAGATCGGTTTGTTCGTGAGAGAAACAGTCCAGCTCGTTCGGAAGGAATCAATCAATCAAATAAACAAAATCCTCTAGTACAGACTTGTGCACCGTACTCTGGTGCGTGGATCATCATTTTTATTTGTTTCTGCAATTCCGCGAGTTGATTTGCATTTATAGTATGCATCATACATCGCAATATTCCTCGAATACCTCGGGGAACACAATGGCAAGACGCAATAGCAAGTTTTCATAACGCCACGCTATTCCAGCTCCGTGTATGCGACAACAAAGCCGATTAATTATATTTCACTGAATTAACATACACGGTATGCGGAAGATTGCATCGCCATCGTATCCTGTAGAATATGCGACCAGTGTGCGTTTCGGCCCGACATCTCCGTTCAATTCAGCGAACATGACGCGATTATCACCACCTTCGACGCCATCGATCAAGAGCTAAAAGCAGTCGCGTATCGGGATAACAAGATCGATGAGACGACACAATGATGTCTCGAAAACACATTCGCACTGTCATGTTTCTTAATAGCATCCATACAAAAGAAAATTACATGTCGCGTAGATGACGTGAATTTTATAAATATATATACTTGACAACATTCTTCTATAATATTATAACCAATTCGATATTATAGCAAAATCTGTTTTGTTGACAGAATAGAATTTTTTTCTTTTGTTTAATAAAATTAGTAAACATATAACTAAAATTAATTATATATTTAAGTAATCTTTTCACTGTCCATATAGTAATCAACGAACTTTGTTATGCTAGCATAAAATATGATGTGGCAGCAAACTTTTTTTCCGTGTATACAAAGGCTGTCCATAAAGAAATCGAACTTTAAAAAAGCGCCCGAATGCGATGACATGGGGCCATCTGCCTTGTGGCACTGTGTAGCGACATTCTCACACCAATCGCCACGAACGACGAACACAACCTCATTCAAATCACCATAAAAAGTAAACTAAAAACGATAGCGTCATGCTCGTAATGCGAGAAAGTTGCTAAAGAATCCAACTACAAAGTACCACAAGGCAGATGGTCTCACTTCACCCCATGCGGACTTAAGGTTACTCAATCTGTGATCCGCGATGAGAGATTGCCGGCTGTATTTCTATTGATGTGGTTGCAATGTTCGGCTAATATTGTTTTTAATGATCTAGTTGTTTACTTCCGACATATAACGCGTTGCAATCTTTGCATGAACTCTTACATATCACATTGATGCGCTTTAACATATCACGTGAGTGTTTACAATTACACAAAATTAATGCACCAAATTATCCAAATATTAAGTTTTATATATAATATTGTAACAGTTGCTGATGATAGTTCAAGATCAAAGACCGGACCTACAAAATTGAACTGTCAATAAAGATAAACTAAAAAGAAAGAATTTGCACTTCATTTACCGCGCCTGGCTCTCACATAGCCCGATTCCTTCTATTGATATTATACATTACAGCTTTCAATTCAATTTGATGTAAATAGATATTTAGAAAAATATTAAAAGATTGTACTTGTGATGTGTCGGAGATTATCAGTTTTTAAGTTTAATTTACCGCATAAGAATATTTCACATTAGGTACATCTCACATAGAGGAACTGGGTTACTTATTTTATCCTCATTTGATGAAAGATTTGGGCTTGTCACCAGCTGCACCTGATTTGGAGGATTACACAATAATAAATTCCTTAACGCAGATGTGGACAGATTTTGCTAAAACAGGGTATCACGGAGACTTGGCATTTCTTACGAATATTTCTTGTAATGTCATACAGTCGCATACTAATAATTAATCACCTATTTATTTCAGAAATCCAACACCTGCTAATAAAGATTTGACTTCAGCTAATTATAAATGGACACCATTAAAAAATAAAAATGCATATGATTATTTAAACATTAATATTAAATCTCAAATGGAGATTCTTTGTAAAGAAAAGCAACGATGGGATTGGAAGATTAGACATAAATTATAATAATATTATAATATTAAATACGCGCGCGTTAAAATTTTTTTAAAGTACATTTTGTCGTCAATTAAATATAAATATATAAATGTATATATTGTTTCTAAATCTTCTGTATTTATAAAATTTACTCATAAGTAATGAATGCAATCGCTCGATTTGTGTTTCATTACTTATACATGTATTGTCGAGTGCAACAACACTAAGAAAAAGAATAAATGTATTTTTGATCAAAAGTGTTTTACAATTTTTTGCCAAGGACACATCATATCATACATGTAAAAAGTATATTCTTTAAAAATAAAATTCTTTCTCCATGTATTTTTTTTTCTTTCTGTATTTTGATATATTTTATTCGCTGCTCTTGAAAAAAGAAAATTATTGTTAAATCTCCCGAAAAATCACGATAAGTGTTGCTATAATATATTTTTTATTAACACTATCAAATCATGCGATATACTGATCATTATATAACTCCAATTTTAGCGAAAATACACGAACAAATAATGAGAGAATTTCCAGAAAAAAAATATTGTTAAATTTAATTCATATTTTTTTCTAATGCATTATCTTTTTCTGCTTAGACATGGATTTATATTTGCTTGTTATGATACTCTAATTATCAACGGCATTACTGATAATGTATCATAAACAATGAGTCATTGAGAAATAGCGAATCATTCAGCCCGTAAGTCACTCGCGCCGTTCAACAATCATGCTTGAATGTTCGATTGTGTGAGTGTAAATATGGTTGCATAATCTCGACAGAGACACGTCAACAGTCATGTTGCGTAGATCGGTCAGCTTATTAGCGCCGTTCCGTCGTCATTCTTCAGTGTCCATCATGAACAGCAACAGAGTGGTCGTAAACGTGCGTGAAGGAAAGTTAATCGGTATCATCGACGAAAATATTCACGGTGGCAATTACATAGCTTTCCGAGGAATACCGTATGCAAAACCTCCGGTGGGTGAACTCAGATTTAAAGTAAGTGCAAAGCGTTTTTGGCACTATTTTATTTTAAGATTTAGTTTAACTATCATTTTTAGAAATACAAATTAGAAAAAAACAAAGAGCCCCAGTTAAAGGGTTTATAGTTAAAATAATAAAATTTAGTCATTGTTTATCGCGTGATTATTATCTTTGTTGACATTAACGAGTGATACAAACTGTCTATTGTATACATATATTGAATAGTTTTGTAAAATCGTAAATTATAAAAAATGCAGTAATTTACTCAAATATTTGAAAAAAATATTAAAATTAAAATCTAGTTATATTGCAAATAATCAAAGATTATAATTATTGTTGATTTTATTAGTTTAAGCGCGATGACAGAAAAATTTCTTACGATGAAAAATTATAATAACTGCATATCTTGTAAAAATTACAACGCGCAATTGTAAATGCTCGCAGGTGCGAACATATCGAGAGATTAAACGATCTATTTTTAGCATGAATTAATCCTCTTGCTGCAGTGTTCACGTAACTAAAGCACGTAAAAAACTTGAGCGATAGAACTTAAGCGGTAAATAAATCGATCAATCACTGTTGAAAGTATTCTTTTCGATATAATCTACCATTCTTTAGAGGATTAATTGATTACTTACTAAGTTCTACTGCTTAAGTTTTTCTACCTGATATGGCTTTAATGGAAAGAGCACGCATATTATGCGCGATACGATAAATTTGTGCGAGCAGACGTTTTTGTAACTTTAATTCATATATTCGAAAGTTTCTTACCACATGGATGACGTCCTATGCATCATTGCGACAGGGACATTCCAAGAATTAGAAACATGAAAAATATAATAAATTTGTTTAAATTTGAGCTTTGTAGAAACGCTTTTCAAAAATAATAATTCACTTGTAGATACGCAAAACGAAAAGAGTAATATTCAGTTCTGATTATGTTCAATATCCAAAAGATGTGGATATATAAATTGATAATTTCTATCTATAATTAATTTTTCTCAATATTTATGATATTACGATATCGCCAAGTTCAAGACAGATCGCAATTGTACGTGTATTTATTGCTAAAGATAAATATCGTAAACAAATAAAGACAAATATTTAAAGTAATTCACTGACAAATTTTACGTATTTATTGTAGGATCCGGTACCACCAGAAGCATGGTCGGGCAACCGAGACGCTTCCAAGTACGGAAACATCGCTGTTCAAGTGAATATTTTCACGCATAAAGTAATGGGCGACGAAGATTGTCTCTATTTGAATGTGTTCACCACGGATACAGAGCCTTTAAAGAAGCGCGCTGTAATGGTGTGGATACATGGTGGTGGCTTTTTTATGGGCTCCGGCGATGCGTCTTTCTATGGTCCCGATCATATCGTTCGGAAGGACGTAGTACTCGTTACTCTGAATTATAGATTAGGTGTTCTAGGTACGTTATTTAATTCGACATACAAAATCATTGTATGTTACTTGGATTATTTTTTTCAGAGTAAACATGTATACACATTTATATCTCTTTTTCACATTCCAAATAATTTACATGTATATATGCTAAGATTTTTTTTTTCAAATAACCAATTTTCATAACTTTTTTGTAAATTTTGTTTTTAAAAAAAATAGTATTCACAAAAAAAATTTCATTTATAAATCTGTTATACGCGTTTCGTTGTTGAGTTATAAATAATTAATAAACTTCAGCAAATAAATACATATCAATAGAGTATTTATTTAGTCATGGAAATCTTTATGTATTTATATATTTCGGATAAATAAAGTTTACTAAAGGAAAATGTATTAACGATGTATCTTTCTCATTCTCTCTTCAGGTTTCCTCAATTTATATCATAAAAAGGCAGCGGGAAATCAGGGCTTAAAAGATGTAATTATGGCGTTACAATGGATTCAAAAAAATATATCGCAATTCGGTGGAGATCCCAATAATATCACAATTTTTGGTGAAAGTGCGGGTGGAGCGATTGTTCACTATCTGACTATTTCGCCGTTAGCTAAAGGTACGAATCAAAAAGAGATATGATATTGATGCATATATTAATAATATATTAAAGATAAAAATATGTATATCCCAGAATTATCAGATTAAAGTTTTTTTTTTCCATTTTAACTTAGATTTCAATTACAAACTATAAAATGGCGTCTTTTAAAAGCTATGTAAAGAATAGCTCATAACCTTCGCGATATTTTTAGTAAAGAAAGATCGAGATTCCAAATTGGTCAGAAAATTGTTAATTAAAAGCACGCTAGTTAATTCTAGCTCATGTATTATATGGAGTCGAAGAGGAGGAAAGCAAGATTTCATGACGATAAGATCGTATTAAACTTGTTCGAGTGCCAATTTTATATGGAACGAATATGCTTTATAGGTTTATTTCATAAAGCGATATGTCAAAGCGGCGTCGTGAATAATCCTTGGGCTTTCACTGGACGGGACACTTCTATCAATAATGGTCTGCAGTTAGCCGAGAAACTTGGTAAGGCAACTTCAGATACGGAAGTCGCCTACAAATTTCTAAAAAAGATAGACGCAAGAAAATTAAGAGAAGCAGAAATAGAGCTTTTCTTGGCAGAAGCAGTAAGTATCACAACGCTCTACTATGATTATTGCAATAATAGTCCAATGAAATTATACGTGTAAGAATAAACCATCTTTTATTGGCAATATATGTTCTTGTAGGTGCGTTTAAATCTTTCGATTGCATTTACGCCGACTATGGATTCCGAGTCATCGAATCCTTTATTACCGGTAGAATCATCGGAATTATTACGTAATGGAATCAAAATGCCACTAATATTCGGATACACTAGTTGCGAAGGCAATTTTTTCTTACGAGGAAAATTTTTTGGTGGTAAGTATATATTTGCTTTTATTTTTCATTATATACATTTATATATCAATCGCTTTGATGTACAAATTTTCATAAAAAACCGATCATCAATGATAAAAATTATTTTGATGTACAATGTCATAACATGTTTCATCGGTATTAATAAATTTTTGGATCTCATCAGTACGCAACATTTAAATGCGCATGTGGAAATCGTAGTTATTTGTCAATGCAACTGTTTTGTTTCAAAGTAACAGTCACATGTTTATTTAAAATTGTTTCAGATATAAGCAAAGAGACTCTGAAGAAAGTCGATTCTGATTTCAAGAAAATTATACATCCTAGAATTTTGTGTCAATTACCACAGATACCGATCACGATTTCAGATTTGCGATCGTTATATTTTGGTGATAAAAAAATATCAGAGGAAACTCTAATGAATCACTCTGATTTTCTTGGCGATCAGTGTCTCTATAGCGGCATTATGGAAGCAGTTGATACTCAAATGAATTCTGGTACTAACGAGCCGATATACTTGTACAAGTTTTCATATGAAAGTAAAACTTCTCCCATGAAAAATATATTAGATATTCAACTTTCAGGTATTGCGTTTTTAATTAATTTAGAACTATGTAAAAATTATTTATCTTATAGAGAAGAAGTACGTTCATAAGTGTGAAGTTAAATGTCCTTAAATCTCTATATATGACTGTAAAATGACAAAGAGAGTGACGTGGTTCCGGAATAATTTTATTAAAAAGAACTATAAATATACAATAGATATCAATAATTGGAAATCGGGCTAAGTGAGAGTCAGGCGCGGTAAATGAAGCGCAAATTCTTTCTTTTTAGTTTGCCTTTATTGTTAGTTCAGTTTCGTATGTTTCGATCTCTGATTTGGACCATTATCAGCAACTTAATATTCGGATCATTCGGATGTACAATTGTAAACATTAACGTGATATGTTAATTTAGGTTAAGAATCACATACGGTCTGTCTCGAACTCAGTGAATCGTGCACAATTATACGATGTTGAAGAATTCAGCTGGATGTCGCGCGAGTACTTCCATCGCCGCGAACGGTATACAAGGGCCGTCAATAAAGAAACTGAAGTTAAAAAAAAGCGCCCGAATACGATGACGTGAAGCCATCCGCCTTATGGCATTGTGTAATAGCCACGAACGACGAATCTCATTCAAACCACCATAAAACGTAAACTAAAAACAATAGCGTCATGCTCGTAATGCGAGAAAGTTGCTAAAGAATCCCACTACAAAGTACCACAAGGCAGATGGTCTCACTTCATCCCATGCGGACTTAAGGTTACTCAATCTGTGATCCGTGATGAGAGATTGCAGGCTATATTTCTATTGATGTGGTTGCGATGTTCGGCTAATATTGTTTTTAATGATCTAGTTGTTTACTTCCGACATATAACGCGTTGCAATCTTTGCATGAAATCTTATATATCACATTGATGCGCTTTAACATATCACGTGAGTGTTTACAATTACACAAAATTAATGCACCAAATTATCCAAATATTAAGTTTTATATATAATATTGTAACAGTTGCTGATGATAGTTCAAGATCAATTCGCGAATCATTCAGTCCGCAAGTCACTCGCGCCGTTCAACAATCATGCTTGAATGTTCGATTGCATGAGTGTAAATATGGTTGCATAATCTCGACAGCTACACGTCGACAGTCATGTTGCGTAGATCGGTCAGCTTATTAGCGCCGTTCCGTCGTCATTCTTCAGTGTCCATCATGAACAGCAACAGAGTGGTCGTAAACGTGCGTGAAGGAAAGTTAATCGGTATCATCGACGAAAATATTCACGGTGGCAATTACATAGCTTTCCGAGGAATACCGTATGCAAAACCACCGGTCGGTAAACTCAGATTCAAGGTGAGTATCTCACACTCCTTTATCTTCGTTATTTAACGTGTGATTAAAGCGACAGTTTATTCAGAATTCGATCCAGAGTTGGGATTCGAGAGATAGGGAGAGATAGGGAGAGAGGGAGAGGGAGAGAGGGAGAGGGAGGGAGGGAGAGAGAGAGAGAGAGAAGTTGGTTATGTAAAGAAATTACAGTTAAATAAATAATTAGGTAAATGACATATGAAGTAAAAGCAACTTTTTCTAGTTTTCTTAATATTTTGTCAGATAATCTTATATTAAACAATTGCAAACAATTTGGGAAACGACCAATCACCATTGAGTAATTTGCGAGCATTTCTAAAAAACAGTTTTAGAAAATTAAAAAAGAAGTAATCCTTATATAAGTTGATTTTTAAATTAAAACAATGACATTCTCAGATGTAATCGCTTGAAGAGTTTTTCTTTCAACAATTTATGTATAAATTAATTTTATCACTATTAGAGATATAAGATTTGTGTAACTAAAGCACACATAAAAACGTAAGCGATAGAACTTAAGTATACAATAGTAAACGAATCGATCAATCACAATCGAGTATTCTTGCCAATTTAACCCTTGAGAATGCTCGACTGTGTCTCATCTGGTTTATTGCTTAAGTTAGGTACTATTATACATGTATTGTTTAGAGTTCTCGCGATAATCCTTAATCTTGGAAACACACAATGTGTGCAGCGAAAAAAAGTTATCTCTAAATATTATATTTCAACATTGCAAATTTGTTCTAATTCAAGTGTTTAAAAACAAAGTTACATTTTATGCATCGTTAATAAAAACTTATCATAGTTAAAACAAGAAAATCACACACACATATTTTGTGTGTGTGTGTGTGTGTGTGTGTGATTTTCTTGTTTTAACTATGATAAGTTTTTATTAACGACGCATAGAATGTAACGTTGTTTTACCTAACTTAACTAAAAATTGTAAATAAATGTAATTTAAGGACGTACACGCGTATTTTTTTACATATAATCATACTCTGCGTCTTCTTCACGAAAGTAGACTTTTTTGTTCATTGAAACGATGGAAAGGATTAATATTGAATTTCGAATAAGCAAGACTTGTTCAACGAAGAACCGGCGAGTGCCGATTTCTATTACCGCTTTCTCAATTTTCTCCAAATATCGATTAAACAGCAGCAAAAACTACAAAATGGGACAAATTGCGGGAGTTATTCATTGCATGCGCGTATATTTCTTATTCAAGATAAAGATATCATATCAAGATAAAGATATCATATCAGAGAGGTATATAATAATCTCAGAGACGATTTATATGTATTTAGGATCCGGCACCGCCGGAACCATGGTCCGGCAGCAGAGATTCTTCAAAACATGGAAACGTCGCCGTTCAGAAGGATCTTACCACGCGCGAAATGATCGGCGACGAGGATTGCCTCTACTTAAACGTGTACACCGCAGACATCGAATCATGGAGAAAATGTCCGGTTATGGTGTGGATACACGGCGGCGGTTTTAGCACAGGTTCCGGCGATGCATCCATTTACGGTCCCGATTATATTGTCCGGAAGGACGTGGTATTGGTCACGTTAAATTATAGACTAGGCGTTCTCGGTACGTTAAATTGATACATAATCCGTATATGTACATACGTACGTCATTTGTTGTTGTTGCTTTTTTTGTGTTTGGCTTTTTTTCCGAAAACAGCCAATTTTTAAACTTAATTTTTTCATTAATGAAATTTTGTAAGAAAAAGAAGGTAAAACTGCATAAAAGATAACACACCTCCGATTTTATCGCCACTTAAATATGTTGTAGGGGAGTAATCTTCTTCTGAGTAATTCCCCGCAAGACATAAGTAGGAGATTTGGTTTGGAGCATTGGTTTAGGAAATATTACAAATTAAAGTTTTACAGTTTTAATGCTTTTTCTCAGTTATTATAAAGTAATATTAAGAAAAGTGAAGTTTGTGTACATTGTATTTATTGTAGAGCAGACGAAAAAGTATTTGTTTACATTTATGGGATAGGTACACGGTCACGGATATTTTGTCAATAATGTGTTTCACCTATTTCTCGCAGTTTGTTAACAGCTTTATATGCAATTACACGAATTTGTGAATCTGCCTTGAAAAATATTATTTATTGAATGCGTGGGCGGGGGAGGTGCGGGGCCCTTTTCCCACCCACGCGTAAATGTCATAAACAGTGTTTTTCAATGAAAAAATAACAAACTATACAGCATACACATTTTTTAATGTCAAACTTCAATTTGTTATATCTTCTAAACCTATGCTGTTCCCCACTTATATTTTCTTGCGGGGAATTACTCAGAAGAACCTCCCCTACAACATATTTAAATAACGATAAAATGGGAGGTATGTTAATTTTTATACAATTTTATCAAAAACAAGTTTTAATCTACGTTCTCGGGAATTAGTTTTACTACTGTATGATGTGATAAACGTTTGTCGTTTCATGAATATATGTTAAAAAAATTTTGAAATTTAAGAAATACGTATTAATGAATTTTACTTTGGATATAAATTGATTATATATTCTTAGTTTAGATAAATCAATTTTGCGAAAAAAAATGTATTAACCCTTTATAAGACGTTATAATTTCAGGTTTCTTAAATCTTAACGATGAAGTGGCAACGGGCAATCAAGGTATAAAGGATGTTGTCATGGCATTACGATGGGTTCAAAAGAATATATCAAAGTTCACTGGAGATCCAGAAAATGTCACCATCTTTGGCGAAAGCGCTGGCGGAGCCATCGTACATTATTTGACTCTGTCTCCATTAAGTGAAGGTATCAATCTTTCTCTCTCTCTCTCTCTCTCTCTCTCTCTCTCTTAGTTTCCAGAAAAAGCAAAAATAAAATTTTAGAATAAAAATTATATTTTCTTTTAGTATTCATTTTTATTGCATATACCAATATTTTACACAGGTGTGACTCACTCTGAGGAACTTTTTTACTTATTTTATCCTTATATAATAAAATATTTGGGCTTTTCACCACTTGCACCTGACTCGAAAGATTACAAGATAATGAATCGCTTAACGCAAATGTGGACGGATTTTGCTAAAACAGGGTATTTGATAATTTTTACGTAATTTTACAGTCGTGTATTAATAATTAATTTTTAATCCATTTCTAGGAATCCAACACCCGTGATTACGAATTTGACTCCAATTAAGTGGACGCCGTTGAAGCGCGCCGGAAATGTGTACGATTATTTAAACATTAATATTGAACCTGGAATGAAAACCTTTCGTAAAGGAGAGCAGCGCTGGGACTGGAAGAATATGAAACATAAGCTATGATCATTCTGTCCGCAAAATCTAATCAGCAATAGAAAATTGGCTTTTTTAGTATATTTTACACTTGTAATAAATATATCCTTTTTACTCATTCTCTCTTTTTGTACTTTAAATTATATTCACGTGACGGCGTAATGCATCGGTTGCTTATGAAGAAAATAAAAAATAATACGATTATATTCAGAGTGCTTTAGAATTTATGAAATGTGAACGTTTTTATCTTTACAAATCAGTTTTTGTTATCAGGAATGTTAAAACATTAACAGTTAAGTCAAGTTATAAGTCCACAAAAACAGAAAACTCTTTGCAAACATTATTTGTTGTCAAAATTTGAAAAGTGATGGTTGACCTATCTCGATTTTATCGCGTTAAATTGTAGATAATTTAAATTACGCAGATTTTTTTCTATTTTCTATCCAATAAAAAACTAATCTTAATATAATCTGTACGAGACCATGCAATTTCTGAATAAAATAAAGATTCCCCGATTAAAAGAGGTTAAGAGAACCATAACATAAAACTTATATAACAAAAAATAAAGAAAATGTATAAATGTATTCAACAAAATAATACAAAATAATATAGCTTAGTAATCAATTATTATTATTTTTTTTTTTTATAAGACGTTATAATTTCAGGTTTCTTAAATCTTAACGATGAAGTGGCAACGGGCAATCAAGGTATAAAGGATGTTGTCATGGCATTACGATGGGTTCAAAAGAATATATCAAAGTTCACTGGAGATCCAGAAAATGTCACCATCTTTGGCGAAAGCGCTGGCGGAGCCATCGTACATTATTTGACTCTGTCTCCATTAAGTGAAGGTATCAATTACAGGTTTATCGATGCACAGTGTCTCAGAATCAGTCATTTAATCACAGATTCATTGGCTAATACATTCCGAGACGGAAAATTTTAAAAAGACCTTCGCGAATCGATAAAATGGAATAAGACCATTTATTATAATTTCAAGTAAATTATATTTTAAAGGAATGTTGATTTAAATATTCTGAAATTCTAATTGCAAAATAGGTATAATAATAATAGATAATTAATATCTAAAAAAAGTTTTAATAATAATTGATATATATAACTTGACTCAATATTTTCGATAACAAAAAATTGAAAATATTGAGTTTGCAAACTGCTCAAGGAATCAATAATTAAAAAGATCGATTCTAAGATGGTATCCTGTATGTTATCGAAATTATATAGAAGAGAAAGAAAATCTTGCGAATACGTTCTACAGGTTTATTTCACAAAGCGATTTCGCAAAGCGGCGTCGCCGCAAATCCTTGGGCTTTTAATGAATGGGCAAATAAAGCGATGAACAAAGGTTTCCAATTAGCCGAGTACCTCGGCAGAGCGACCTCAGATCCGAAGGTCGCCTGTGAATTTCTCAAAACGATCGACGCGAGGAAACTCAGAGAAGCCGAACAGAAGTTGCTGACAAAAACAGTAAATATCTTAACATTCTATTGCGATGTAAAAGTGTCATGGATTAGATGTTTATAGATCATTTGACTTAAATATTTTGATCGGCGATATGTTCTTACAGGAATGTCTACAACATGTAATAGCGTTTACGCCTAGTTTAGATCACGAATCGCCGAATCCATTTTTCCCGGAACATCCAAGCACGTTAATACGCCGTCAAGTTAAAGTGCCATATATTTTGGGTTGTAACAGTTGCGAAGGATCTTACTTTGCATGCAGCAACCTCATCAGACGTATGTTTATTTGAGTTTTACTAATTATATCTCTAACCGGTGCATACGAATTTTCGCGCAATGTGGTCTGTGCTAAGAGTAATATTGTACAACACTAGTACTGAATAATCTAAGCACTTTCGATATTAAAATAATATTTTTATGAATAATGTTATATATATACATATGTAAATAGTGCTGATAAATTAGGATCTAAGCACTTTCGATATTAAAATAATATTTTTATGAATAATGTTATATATATACATATGTAAATAGTGCTGATAAATTAGGATTTTTTATTAATCTCAAATGCACAAGAATCATAATTATGCGCCAGAATAATCATTTACTTCAAAATAGCATTATGTTCATCGTATGCGTTTTTTTACACCCTCATTAAGTTAGCCCCCCTCCCCCCCCCCCAACCAACGCTATAAATTTGGAGGGCTAATTTAACGGGGGTATTTTTTACACTTTATTCAAATATACATGTACATACTGCATACTTTGAAAGATATACAGTATCTCATCTAATATCACATACATGTATAACTCTACATATTGTGTGTACGAAAAATTTAATACAATATTTTGAAAATTGATTTTTCTTGGGCCATAATTTTTTATGAGATTGATCGTTCCTTAAACAATTTTTTTCTGGAATATTATTCTTTTGAAACACGCAGCATCTTGTATAATGATCATTATGCAGTAATCGTACTCTTAAAATGATTCCAGGCTTAAACAAGGAGACTTTTAAAGAAATGGATTCCGATTTCAAGAAGACCATCTTACCTAGAGTTTTGTCTACACTACCACAGATACCGATCACAGTCGAAGAATTACAATTTTTATACTTTGCTAATAAAACAGTGTCAGAAGAAACTCTAATTAATTACGCTGATTTTTTAGGCGATGTACTTTTTTATCGCGGCATTATGGAGATAGCCGATACTCAAATGAGCTCTGATGCTAATGAGCCGACCTACTTGTACACATTTTCATATGAAAGTGAAACTTCTCCCTGGAAGAAATTCTTAAACATTACGCTTCCAGGTACAACTTTGTTAATTTATTCAAGTTCACTTATAAGAATCATTGATCCTTAACAGATACAAATATGCTTATATTATAAGCTTGAAACAAGAAATATATAAAAAAACATATTCTAACAATAATTTATATGACTACAAAAAAGAGAAAGCAAACGTAGTTCTGTTCTGAAATATTTTATTAGATAAGAATTTAAAAAATTTATTAATATTTTATACGGTCGTCGGAAGGAATCAATGTTTTCGTGAATGTCTGGCAGGTAGTATACTCTTATTATAGTTTACTATTTAATATAGATAATCTTGCGCCTTTTGAAGCTCCATCAAATCTATTGATTACGAGCCGGTAATATCACGCCTGCGAAATATTTTGATAGATGACAGAAATGTTTTTTCATAGTTTTGTTTGCAAGGTCTTTTATCTCCATTGTATAATGCGTGCAAAAATTAACCACTCTATAAATTACTTTCTATCTACGATTATGTCTAACTTAACTTTTCACATATACGCGATGAATTATTTTACTATTTTCTTACGCTGTGGCAAAAGTTTTGTTTATCTAAGAGTAGATTCAGAGAAAAATAACAATACAAGCTCCGCACACTACCTGATAGTCGGGGCAACTAACTTTTCGCAGTACAGTCCCGAGAATGTGGTGGCATTGTTGCCTTCAACGTTGAATAATAGAACGCATTGAATCACGAGGCGCATGCGCCTCTTCCATGGAACATTCGTTTACTCGTCTTCACTCGTGGTTGTTCGGTTCTCTGGCAACTTGAAACACATATCGTTCACTGATCGTTGCGTGAATCATCTTGCGAGAGTAAATAAGGAAAGGCGGAAAAGCTGCATACCGGTGCGGAGAAGATTAGGATTTACGAAACGTTGCGCAATCACTTGTCCGACTTGAACTAATCTTAAACTGAGTACAACGGAATGTATAAGATACTCTGTGTATAAATATCGCGTTACAATATTTCAGTGCGTGCGAGTGACGTTTAACTTTTATATTAGTTACATGCGGGCGTGAGAAGAGAAGTTGCCTTCGCGCGACTGGCGATCTTCCGTTTTTTGTCGCATACTTCGGCTCGCATCACGTACTTCCGCGCATCGTGCATTTCGGAAACGGATCGCATCAAAATTTGCAGTAATCGCATCTTCCGAGTGAAAAAATCCCGTTACCAGGGACACGTCAAAAGTATCGATCCCGGATCAATCTGATCTTCGACCGACACAAATGAAACAAACAAGATAATTATTTGTATTCGCCCCCGGAGCGATGGTTTCGCCGGATAACGCGAGAGAATAACAAACAGCGAGGGTTTACAAACATTATTTGCGAAATATTTATATACCGCGTATATCGAGATATCTTTCGTTCGCGTTCGTTGGTCTTCAAGCGGTACGGGATAATGCACGAAATGCAAAGTGATCTGCAGATACCGTATCTGCGCGCGATTCAAGCGGTACCAGGCAATACCGCCAGTCAGAAGCTATGTTGGATTGGAAAATTAACTTCGTACCAGGCCAGCGGGGATCCCGACCAACTTCCACAGGAATTGCTGCCTATACTGCGAGTGGAAATCGCGGTGAACAAGAAGAAATACGAGGATATAACGTCCGCCCTTAAATCCGAGGATTGGACAATAGTGAATCGTGCTCTTAAGGCCGCTTGGTTCTTCGATGGCAGCCACAAGAGTATTGTCAACGCCGAGTACTTTTGTGAACATGTCTTCCCTTACGTCTCTATGAACACGAGGGCACGTATCGTGACCACACTCGCAAATCGATTGGCTGATCCGGAGTTGGCGCAGCAATTGTTCACGAAAATAGCATCTATTTACGGTATTTATAACGCTTATCCGCTGATCGTGGCTTGCGACGAGGCTTTCGTTTATAAAACCGTCGAGCAGCAAAAGGTCGTGCTGCCAGTTGGGACTGTTAAAAAGATTTTCCGTAAGAATCCGGATCTTATCGTGCGTTATCTCAAATTATTAAAACCCGTGAATGCGACCGAACGCGCTCCTTTCCCGGTCGATATCGATAAATACAAGTTTTTACTGCCCAAATTAGTGAAAAAGCGACCGGATGCTTTCGCAGAACTGCTCGAGATGCACGAAGCTAATCCGCTGAAAATTACTTTGAGTAACTCATGCGCCGAGATATTCTTGAAAAAAGGACAGCGATACTTGAATAAAAAACCGCATTTGTACATCGATATCTTACCGCTCAGAAAGATCAGCATAGAACTAATGGAAAGTATATTTATGGGTCTATTGCCCGCGAAAAGTTCTTGCTTCGACACAGATCTCATTCTCAAGTACTTACAATACTATCCACAAAATGAAAGATACAAACTGCTCCGTGAATCCTACATGGCAAAATACGGTACTGAACTTCTCGACGAGGACAAAAATATAACGCCCGCGTTGTTGCGAATATTACCTGCCAAAGAACGGATCGAGCAAGCTAGAATTAGGCTCGAGAAGGAGAAATTGGGAGAAATCCAGAATAACAACATAATAAAGAAATACGAGAGAGCTTGGATCTGTTATTTACCCGTTAACGAAGGGATACCGGTTATTAAGGAAAAAATAAGTAAAGCTTCAGTTGATGTAGATCGACTTGATCTCATTTTCCAAATGTTTTACGCTTGCAAGATCAACGAGAATGATGATGCGTTAACCGACAGTTTGAAATATTTCTTAAACAGGCATAAAAACGAGGAGTTTATGGTATTCCAACGAACAATGGATCATCTTTTACTATTATACGATATACCTCATTTAAACGAGAATCAGAACTCCCTTCTGTTCGACATCATAAAATTGTTTTATGTAAAATACGGATGTAATCGGGTGGAAGGGATGATCGAGGCTATTATACATTTCAGACTTATTCACAATATGCCAATCGATGAGCTAGTTTGCATGTTGATAGATGGAAAAAATCGATGGTACATAAACTTCAATCTACTCAAGGAATATCCACAGTACGAGAGAAAATGCCTTGTAACTTTCGCAGAAATTATTTCAAAAAATCTTGATAGGTGGCTAAAACATGAAATCGATTATACAAAAAACACCTTGTGCCAATTCATCGTGGCAATGTACGACTTTAACGACAGATGCAAAAAATCGGGTACGAAGATAGAGCGTATGACGATTAAAAGCTATGATTGGCTACTAAATGATATAGGCGCATTAATATCATTCGACAACAAATTCCCTTTGGATGCGCAGAATATATTGAAGATATTGCAAAAACAAGAACCGGAATTGTATCGCACCTTGAACCCCCAGAAGAAGATCGCGGACATGATAAAGTCAGGCGAGGCGCTCGCTCTATTGAAGCAAAATCCGCAAGATATACTTCGACAATGGAAACACTATTTGGTGAAATGCAAGGAGCAGCATTGGTGCAAGCAGGTGCAACGTTTCGTCAGAGCCACGCGCTGGTATGAGGACATACCCATCAGATTTGTCGAGAGTTGCATGAATGATTTGCATTATTTGCACGGACATACAGAATATAAAGATACGAACAAGATGACTTCTACCTTGACTATCCTGGCAATACTACTTCACGGTGACACGCTGACAAAACTGATAGAACCCCTCGTACCTACGGAAACAACGATTGATGCCAGTCATCCGGACACCAGCAAAAATTACGAACTCGTGCGTCATTTACCAACGACCATTAGACTTTCCAATCCGCCAGTACCTCTCGAACTCGTAGCCAAATTATGCGAAGGAGATTACTTATCGATAGCGCTGATGACGCTGACAAATGTGAGTAGGCGATCTTGTTTGCCGAAAGTATTGTCGTTCGCGCGCAAGTTGTATAAAATGCGCGTCGGCGCGCGGAAGCACGGGGTCAGGCTGATGTATCAAATAGCTCCCATGGACGAGCTTACCGAGTTTCTGCGAGAGATGTGGACTCTCGAGAGTCATCATTCCATACGACAAGTTATATTCGAGGCGGTACAGAAACTCTTGTCTATGGCACCAAACCCGGACAATTGGTCTCTATATTGCTTAATAACTCACACGATGCATCTCAAAGATGAAGCACTACTTTCGCAAATGAAACTTCTTCCCAGCATTCCCAATGAATATGTCTCTAAATACTTTGAAATATGGCTCGAAGTAATAAATGATCTTGAATTGTTAGGATTGGACGCTCAGAAGACGAATAAATATATAATCAATTTCCTGGGAGAGATTACCGCGCCCGTTTGCAATCTTCTGTCCGAAAATTTCGCTCAAGATATAATGAAAAAATATTTATTTATCGTCGATGTTGATTTATCCAAGGCTGCGAGACGTTTCTCGATGTTATATCTTTTCCCGGAGGATGAGACTAAATTTACAGTACATAGCAAAGAATTCATCGATATCTTTCATTCCATACTTAAGGCGCATTGGAACACGACCCATCCTAAAAAATCACGTTTCTTTCCGTACAATAACGCTGTACATTTATTTGTGGAAGATTTCGTGGTTAGCTACGTCAACAGATTTTCCTCAAACAAGTCTACCGATATGCAATTCGTCGACGATATGCTCAAGATATTTTCATCCGTCTTGGTACCTACGCAGGACGTGAGATCTTATTTGCTGTTAACCTATACGAAAAAACTGCAGGAGTGCACGTCAACCAATAAATGTTTCGGCCTGCAATTCGGTCTACACCTGCCGGAATTAATCAAGATTTTCTCGTCATCATTAGTGCATTTCATGGCCAAGATTCTCGATCATTTCCTGGATCGTGTATTTGAAGATCATACCAACTTGGAAGAATTCAAGCTTACTGTCATAGAAGGCCTTATTAAAGCTGATAACACGGATTCCTGTTTCATGGCTGTGACAATGTTATCGCCGGTGACTTTGAAGAATCTTGCGACAAGATACGATCAGCTCATCGTAAAGTTTCAAGAAATGAAAAATCCTGCTATCACTAGCGTTTTATATGATCATTTGAATGTGTTGGACTTCAAAAGTATCATATTCGATTAAACCGATCGAATATCGAATGGAATATCAAATGTGAATTTTATACGCAATTTGCTCCGCTATAGTATTTTGCAAATATAAATAGTAATACTTTATTATATACATATAATTGATAATTTCATTGCAAATATTTTTATATGTGTTAAAAAGGTTCGTGCGCAAATTTCTCTTTAAGAAACGCGCGCGCGCGCGCCCACAGACACACAGACACACACACACACACACACACACACACACACACGAAGTGGTCATAAATAAATTTTAGAAGAAACCGTTTTTCTTTCTATTTTCAGAGGTTTAAAGTTTAAGGTTTTTAATGGACAATTTTTTTAGAGACGGAAAACCTCGAATAAAATAAAGGAGTTGCTAGTTAATTTTATGTAAAACAGAAAAAATAAAAAGCACCATGTTCCAATATTATGTAATAAAGATTTTTTTCATGGCATGTAAATGTAAATATGTCGTTACAGAGCATGCATTCATCTATCTTCATAATATATGTGTACGTATATATGTTTTTTATCAATACGCATTAACATGTTATATCAATTATTAAATTATGTAAGCATTTAATCGAGCAAATAATGGATGCATTCTTTGCGACACACTTTCTTTTATACTTATTAATCCCACTAGTATCTTTGCTCAAAAACTAATATCTTTTTTAAAACATAGGATATATAATCGAAATTTTGAAACGGTAGCGATAAAAGATTTTATACTATTTTTAAAAGTACTTTTCAAATTTCAGTACAAATTTTACAATTTCAAGTAGCTCAAACAACATTTGCATTTCTGTGTTAACATCAACATAAATAATGCTATCGAGCCCCAAGACGCTGAACATATCCATTAATGTATCGACAGACATATGTGAACAGAAATCCGTCGCAAATTCTCTCGCAAATTGCAGATTGTGCGAAACGAGTATTCAACAAGGTCAAATGGAAATAATTTAATATCGTTGGGTAAGTGAACTGATAATGTGTATTTTTCTGACGATAAAATTATCAAATTATTATGAAAACATCATATTTATCACATTTATAAAAAGTGTGATAAATTTTTAATATCATTAATATAATAGCGAGAAGAGAGAGTGGAGAGGTAAAAATATAAAATTTGAGATGCCAAAATGTGATTTAATCTTTTCAGGTAATTATAAAAATTGTATGTGAGATATTTTTGTTTTTGATCTATGCAAAACTTTTTATATTTAAAGTCAAGTAAAATCCGAGTAAAAAGGCAAAAGAGCCACGCGCAGTTTTTAGGGCGCAAAGGTATATAATTTAAAGGTATATAATTTTCTTTCTGTATACCGTTTATATTGTTGAGTTTAGTATTATTTGCGCTGATGATGGCCAAAAAAAGGGCCGAAACGTCCGCCTTTCGCGAATCATGTAATTAAAGAAATTCTCTAATTTTTTAATTTATTTTTTGGTTTAAATTATATACCTTTGCGCCCTAAAAACTGCGCGTGGCTCTTTTGCCTTTTTACTCGGATTTTACTTGACTTTAATCGTGTAAGAGCCTTACTTTTATATCTTTTTATATTTATTTTGCCGGAACGCGCAAGATTTCAAATGTAACTCGTTTAAATAACTCACATAAACGATTAATCATTCATTTTGGCAAAAATCGCATGTAGATATTAGCGTGTACTTACACGATGTGTCGAAACCGGTGATGAAATTCGGGCAGGGCGCATACACGGTCGATCCCGCTCGAGTGTTGGGCCAACAGGACCATCCATCGAATGTGAGTCGACAATACGGTTCTGAAATAGAAATTTGGGTATAAGTGATTATACAAAGGGATAGAGGGTGGATCAATAATCTCGTAAAAGGCATTTGCTATAATTCGTCGTGATTAAATCTCGATATATATGAGAAATTGCGTGGGGCGATATAACAGTATCGCGAACAAAATATTGTAGTGCCAATTGATTAGAACAAATTGAACAAATCTTCTCGTGGGTTCTTTACGACGCTCGTAAAGACACGAAACGCACGATATATTACTCATTACCGATCACTAAAAATTTATTTATAGAAATATATGTATATATTATCCCATAAAAGATGTGCTCTCTATACATATACGAAGAGAGATATATACAATCTTCGTATAGATGAGTAAAACGGATTTTTACTCCCGACTGCTGCCAACCGCAGGTTGGCAAAAAACGGAGGGAGTATGCGTTTCACCGAGCTCGGATCGGTTGTCCTCTTATTTTTTTTTTCAATTTAATTTTGTTATATTATTTTTTTCTATTGTTTTTTTTTGTTATACTTTACTTGTTTGCGCGTTTATATTTGTACAAAGACAAATCTAACAAAAAAAATGATGTGTCATCTTGTTTGTACAACTGATAAATGATTCTTCAGAGATAGTGCAATTCATCATTGAACTCGAGCAGCTATCACTTGTTACGCGCATCAGAGATTACGTAAGGCACGTCCATTAAATTGGATATAACGCGCATTAAACGTAGAACCGCGGCGACTATCAAATCGGCATGGAGCTACTACGGATTCTTTTCGCGATCCTAACTTACGATCAAGTTGTTAATGGTTACCGGATCCTCGGAGTGTTCCCGTTACAAGGCAAGAGTCACTGGGTCATGCAGGAGGAATTAATGAAGGGCTTGGCAAAACGCGGTCATCAGGTGGACGTGGTCACGCATTTCCCGCTGAAGAAGCCGATACCTAATTACACGGATATCAGCCTGGAAGGCAGTCTCCCGCATGTTGTGAACAATGTCACCGCGTCGGATATCAAAGGATTCGGTTCCTTATCCGTGGCCACATTAACTTATATAGCCGGAACGGAGAATTGTAAGCTGCTGGATCACCCGAAGATGCGAGAACTGATCGAGAATCCGCCGCAAGATCCTCCTTACGACATCGTTATTGTAGAGGTATTAAAATGTTTTTGAATATGTGTGCACGTTAATTTATTTTTGCGCGTATGTGATAAGAAAATTTCTATTGTTTAACGTACGTATATTTATATAATGTTATCAGTCTTGGTCAAATCTGTATTAAAGCTTTGGCGATTTTCAAAGATTTTGTACTTTTTTCTTCAAATGTGTCAGATTATTTTACTCTTTTCGCAGTTTTAAAATTCTTAATACCTTAGTATCTTTGTAACTAAAGTTTAAATTTCTCTGTCAGTAAAACTCGCTTGACATTAAATGAACAGAGTAAAATCCCATTAATGAACTCGCGCTTTAGGAGCTTAATTCGTAAAAGCAACTTTTTTCTTGATTTTATAGAACGCAAAAATTGTTTGATATCTCGACATTTTTATTAATAAATAATGACTCCCTCTACTTACTAAAAGAATTTTATTTAAATATGATTACAATATATGGTACAAGAAATACTTTATATATCGTGACAATGTCACCTCGTAATAATTCTATAAGTGTATATGTCGAATAATGGTCGTATTTTTTGTGCTTTTTTTATTTAACTTTTGCGCTATAAATATTCCATATAATATTTTCTTATTATAAAGTTTGTAAAAAAAGAGTTGTGCAGAAAATATTAATCGGCGGAAAAAGGATAAATATAATTTATAAAATCGATAAGTTATCAGAAGATGAGATTATATCTATAATAAACATTTTTCGACATTGTATGTAGTACTTTTATCGCACAAAAATTACATGAAGAAAGAAAGAGAAGGCCAAATTTAATCAAGTTATTGTTTAATCAAGACTTGATTTAAGCCTCAATTAAATGACTATTTGATCAAAAATCCAATGATAAGTGCGCGCGCGCGCGCGCGCGCGCGCGCGTGTGTGTGTGTGTGTGTGTGTGTGTGTGTGTATATAT